ATTGCACAATATATTACTTCCCCATTAAATAGAAGAAATACAACTGCTTGCAATGTAATTTTTCAGATTTGAAAAACATAACAAATTTTATGAAATTAAGATATAAGACTTCTTTTAATCTGTTGAAAGCCACAGGCAGACAGATTGTGATGTTGCTAGCCTAGGAAAACAATATCCCATAATCCTGTACAGTTGCATTTCCATATTGAATATATATTACAACAAGCTCTCATTGTCTAATGCAGGAATTTATGCATTTATAACCTCAAAGCTTTATAACTGTATTTACCATGTGGTTGCTCTGCAGCCTTAATTAATAAACACCAGCTGGTCTAAAAAGCACCAGCAGTGCATATAGAACCAAAAAGTAAAAGCACATTTGACTGGCTCTGTCACCACTGAACATTTTGTTTTATTACAAATAAACCCCGAATGGATTAGCTACTCTGTATTTAAGTGAGCTCCTATTGAATCTAATTAAACTGAATCTAATGTTTAGACTCTGTACACCAAAAAGAAAAAAAGGGGTAACCAAAAAGCTGTTCAGTGATGTTGTTACAGGATTTCTCTGGTTGTTTGCTGCCCTATAATGGGAAACTTAACTATGTAGTCAGCATTTCTTAAAATCAGGAATGAACTCAATGAATTGACAGACTTGTTTTAGACGAAAGGTGAGTTTGCAATAAATGACATAACACTGGAGCCAAATGCAATTTCATCACAGCACAATAAAACATACGCTATCATTGTGTCACACTGCCATAAATGACAAATGGAAAGTTGCTTCATGCAAACGAATTGTGAAACTTCACTATAAAACCTCATAAACGTCTTATGGTGCAAGGGTATATATTTTTTCAATAGCCAAAAAATGCATTGTTTCAGTCACAATGATATATTTTTATTTTATACCAAACATTAAGTAAAGGACATTTTCCATGAAAATAGTTTGTATATCTCACTGTAAATATATGAAACATTTATTTCTCATTAGTAATACACATGGCTAAGATCTTTTTTGGTATTGTGTGAATGAAAAGGCTTGCTTTTATTTTGCACAGATTATTGACCAACACTGAAATCATTGTTTGTTTTAATCATTAGTGTAACGACCGGGGAGTGAGTGACAGATACAACTGAGGTAAGATCCAATATGCAGGTTTCTTCAGCGTCAGGCAAGCAGTGGTCAAATCAGGTACAATCGGGTATATGCAGACAAATATAAAATCGTACTCGTAAATCAGGTAACAGGTCACTAGGCAGGCGGCTAAACAGGAGAGCAGGAAATACAGGGCTAAGGTCTAACACGGAGAAAACAAGACAGGGAAACGCGTTGTAATGTCACAGTAAAGCAAACAAGACTCGGCAAACTGGAAGGGTGCAAAAGTGGCTTATGAATGGTGTGTATTCAGTTTCTGACAGGGTTCAGCTGGTGAGTGTAATCAAGCTAGATGAATGAACAGGCGTGCGTGTCTGGGAGAAGTGCATGTATGAATATGTAGTCCTGGGAAATGCGGAAGTGTAGTCCTGGTGTTCGTGTGAGAACCAGCGATCTCTGGAGAGCGATAGCAAAATTTCCATGGATAATTGAAATAACAAAACCAACCCAATAAATAAACAAACAAAAGACAAAAACAAAAGGAAGACATTCACAAGACAGATTTATAATAGCTTACAATAGACAGAGCTTTTACATTTTTTACAGCTTTGAGAGACTTCATTAACAGAATAAGTTTGTTGATAACTTGTATAAAGGAGGAGCTTTTGAAAGTCTACAATTGCGGATAAAGAATTTACCATTTAAAATATTAAAATTAACAAAATTGTTAATTAGTTAATTAGTTTAAAATAACAAATAATTATTTTGCATTTAATGTTATCAAACACATTATCTTTCTAGTCTTTCCAAAATAACTGCACAATTTGACGATCAACAAATATGGATTCCTCACTGTTTTTACAAAATGAACATTCTTTCTCAGTATCTGAAAATTTGGAAAGTAACACATTGGTTGGGTATATTTTATGTGAAATATTTAATTGAATTTCTCTTTATTTGAAATGCAAATTACAAATAAAAAAAATTGGTAGCAGCCATATAACATTTCCTTATTTTTATCATTAAATACTCCCCTAATGTCTTTGTTAGTAACACTGAAATCATTGTAAAATAAAAGGTAACACGTGTGTGTGTGTGAATGTGTGTGTGGATGTTTCCCAGAGATGGGTTGCGGCTGGAAGGGCATCCACTGCGTAAAAACTTGCTGGATAAGTTGGCGGTTCATTCCGCAGTGGCAACCCCGGATTAATAAAGGGACTAAGCCGACAAGAAAATGAATGATTTGTTCCTTTGATATTAATTTAAAAAAGTGTAAATACTGTATTTCTCAATTGTTCTTGTTATGTAATAAAAAAAAGAATAATAAAAATAATAACAATTCTAATCAAGAGAATTTATGTTTTGATTTTTCAACACACAGATAACCAGAAGTCTGTTGGATTTGATTAAGTGGAAAGAGTAGAGAAAATGTACCAACTTTTACAACCAGAAATGATTACAGGTAAGTTTTTGGATTATGGTATTTGGTTGCTTCAGAAACCGCAAACTCTGTTCGGTAGGTAGAAAATGTGTAATTACTTTTGCAACCACTGAAAAACTCTTTATATAGCCGAGTATAAAATGTATTTTGGATTAAGTGAAGTTAATATTAATGGAATATGATGTTTCACAGTCAGCTATGTTATCATTCTGCCTATTTTTTGAACTCAGCAGTACCTATTTAGCTGCTGCTATATCATAGAGAAATATGTAATTTCAGAGGTAGTTTTTGTATGACACTTTTAGGTTAAGTTAATTAAGAGTCTTCTCAGTTTTTTGATTTATTACTTTTCACAAAACGTTGAAGGGATAGTTGAACCAAACTGAACATCCTGTTATCATTTACACACCTATAACTTGTTCCAAACCTGATGATATTTTTCTCTTCTGTTGAACACACGCATAAAAAATATATTTTAAATAAAACTGGAAACCTGTGGTCACAGATAGAAATAAAGTTACAGGTTTCTTCAAAATAATTTATTTTGTGTCCAACAGAAGAAAGAATCTCAAAAGGGTTTGAAACCTCTTTTAATCTGGGGTCACCACAGCGGAATGAACCGCCAATTTATCCAGCATGTTTTACGCAGCGGATGCCTTTCCAGCTGCAACCAATCACTGGGAAACATCCATTCACACTCATTCACACACATACAATACGGTCAATTTAGCTTAGCCAATTCACCTGTACCATATGTCTTTGGACTTGTGGGGGAAACCTGAGCACCTGGAGGAAACCCAAGCCAACGCAGGGAAACATGCAAACTATACACAAAAATGCCAACTGACCTAGCCGAGGCTCGAACCAACGACCTTCTTGCTGTAAAGCAACAGCACTGCCTACTGCGCCACCGCGTCACCACGAAAACTTCAATTTCTTCAAAAGATTTGAGGAGCATATAGATAGATTGAAGAGCGCTGTCACTTAGTGGCCATCAAACCTCTGTCAATCTGCAAACGTTATTAGAAATATTAGACATAAAATGTTGCATAATAATATTGTCATTGTATTATTATTTTTTTTTTTTTGTAAAATCTTAATGTAAGGTAAATTTGGGTAATCTGGGACACCTGCTTCTTTGTGTTTATTTGTGTTCTATCAAAATTCAGGCAACAAGACTTTTATTATAAAATAAATCACATGACTTCATTGGGGGGGCACTTGTCAATCAGGAAGCTCTCATAAAAATTGGATGACAAGGTCAGTGACATTGGATTCTGACTAGATTAATGTTAAGGACATAAACCTGTCATAAATTAGACAATGTTCCCAATTGTTGTCAAATGATGTTTGTGATCTATTCAAGTAACAAAATATGTATTAAAGTGTTGAAAATGTTTTTTTTTTTTTTTTTCAAAACATTTTTTTTTGTTGTCCCACATTATCAAATATGATTGAAAATGTGGGATGGTTTGTGTAATCTGGGACAGCCTTGGAATGGGAGAAATATGCATTTAGAGACTTTATATGTTTAATGACTACAAAGATGCAATGTACAATGTTCTGTACACAAACTCACACACAACATACACACACACACACACACACACACACACACACACACACACACACACACACACACACACACACACACACACTCCACGCCTTTTAAAAATTGGTAAAATTGTGTTTGGCATGCATAAATATGGCAAATATATACTTTTTTAGCCCAAATACATAATGTCCCAGATTACCAAATTCAGGCAGAATTTTTGTTTTTGACACAAAAATATTAACAGTGTGGCATGGCTCTTCTCAGTATAATATATTATGTTTTCTTAGGTGGTTGAAAAACTTAAGGATTTCAGAAAAGTCTAATATGTGGTTTTAATTAGTTAAACATTGAAATAGAGAGCTGAAGTCAAAATTGCAAAAAAATGTCCCAGATTACCCGAATTCACCCTACGTTACATGTGTTACGAGTTAACACGAGTTCACTGGTACACGAGTCTACAATCAACTATGAAAAAACGTGGTTTGACCATTTGAAACATCGTTTTGTCCTTCAGAGCTCTTCTTCTGTAAGCGGGAGAGTTTGTAAACATGTTAACGCGAGTACATGCTAAACAACATGTTAACATCTTGTGCAGAATCTTGACACGAGTTCGAATCCGTCGATGGCATGTAAATTATTATTAAATTAGTATTATTATTATTATTGTTAAAATATTTATTTATTATTAAATTATTATATTTTTAGATTAATTTAGGTTATATACTGTTCTGCCACAGATATTAAAATCAAGAATGCTCACATTGACACTGACAAAGTAGCCTAATAAGAATTATTATTATTATTATTATTTTGGTATAGGCATGTTTTGTTGCTGTGGAAAAAGTAACGAATCTGCCAATCTGCCAAACGTAAATAGCTTACATCTGGAAAGGGTCTCCCGTTAAACCGTAACATCGGGACCTCAAAACTCACAAATCAAGCACTGTCTGTTCTAATATTTTGTTTGTGAGGGGGAAGGACAACGGTCCACACTGGCACTTTTTGTTGGCCAGTTATATGCTGCAGTATAAAGAGCAACATTGAAAGTGAAAGGATTAATAAATCTGAGACGGGAAAGAAAGCTGCAGGAACAGTAAGTAGACTTAATGCTGTCTGCTAGCTATGGACATATGTGTTAATGTTTCTGACCGTCTGTACGGATGTGTTTCAGAATATGTTGTAGCCTATGCTTATTTTGTTTTGAGATGATTGAACGTCAACGTAAACGGCGACCCCTATACAGTCAGCATTCAGGCGAAACAAATCTGACTTTTTCAACGAGACTGAAAGTGATTTTAAGTTCAAGGTATTTAAATAAGTAAATAAAAAATTGCTCTAAATGACCAATTGGTAAGCCAATACAAAAGCAATTAAAAGTTAAAAAGTCCTTAAATATTTTTTATTTAAAAAAAAAGAATAAAATAATCAAATGATACAAATATGAGATAATCATTTAATTGTGTTTATGTTTATATATATATATATATATATATATATATATATATATATATATATATATATATATATATATATATATATATATATATATATATATACACACACAGTTGAAGTCAGTCATTAGCCCACTTTTAATTTTTTTTTTCTTTTTTAATTATTTCCTAAATGAAGTTTAACCGAGCAAGGAAATTTTCACAGTATGTCTGATAATATTTTTTCTTCTGGAGAAAATCTTATTTGTTTTATTTTGGCAAAAATAAAAGCTGTTTTTAATTTTTTAAGCATCATTTTAAGGTCAAAACTATTAGCCCTAAGCTATTTCTTTTGACTGTCTACAGAACAAACCATCATTATACAATAACTTGCCTAATTACCTGAACCTGCCTAGTTAACCTAGTTAAGCTTTTGAACGTCACTTTAAGCTGTTTAGAAGTGTCTTGAAAAATATCTATTCAAATATTATGAACTGTCATCATGGCAAAGATAAAGTAAATCAGTTATTAAAGATGAGTTATTAAAACTATTATGTTTAGAAATGTGTTGAAAAAATCTGTTCTCCGTTAAACAGAAATTGGGGGGAAAAAATGAACAGGGGGGCTGATAATTATGATTTCAACTATATATATATATATATATATATATATATATATATATATATATATATATATATATATACTGATTAAAATGCAATAATTTAACTTTGCAATAAATGTCAATTCCATAAAAAAATTGTAGACACGTTTTTAATTAATATATTTTTATGATAATTTATATTTGCTAAATGCAATATCAAAATATCAAAAATTTAACCTTAAGACAAATGTGTGACTGTGTGATTTTTTTTCACTCGAAATCTTTTTATTATTATTATTTTAATTGCTCTGACTACTTTATGAAAATGTAAAATCCAAAAATAATTGTGTATTTACATTTACTATTTCAGGGTGACACAAAACAGCAGCTTACTACAAAAGACGAGAAGGAGAAAGAGGGAAAATGAGCCAGCTCAAAGCCATTCATGGTGAGACTTTGAAATATTACTGTACATTACAAAAAATCTATTTTTTATTTTTAAACCTTAATATATTTGTGCCCTAACCCAGAAGCACACTATTTAGCTAATATAGAAAAAAATGTCAAGCTTTAGTTACAGTTTATAATTTTCATTATTAGTTGTGTTAGGCACAAAATCTTTGCTAATAAAATAGCATTATTGTTGTTGTTTTTGTCTTGAAGGAAAATACTACTATGTAATTGAGTCGGGCAGTACTGACAACTTACCCACGCATATTTTAAGTCATCTCCAGCAGCAAAGACCCAACCTGGTTCAGGTATACAGTGTGGACCAGTGTGATGTGATCTTGGTTTTATGCCCCATTATTTCACGGGCAGGAACTGACATTGATGCTGCTCTGAAAAAACTTAATGACTTGTCAGGTAACAGACAGAAGTTTACTGTTGCAGAAGATATTTATGTACTGATAGAAGCAGAAACACCACTGACCATCTTATTGTGTCTTTGTTTGAAACAGCATTCAAGCCAGCTATTTTCATAGTCCTGCATCAAACGTTTGACCGTGAGAGAGTTGTACTAGACAGCAGCACATTTGTAAAGAGGATGAACACGCTTACAGTGGACTGCCTTTTCTTTGACACAAGGTTGTTAGGATGCAACATAAATGATGAAGCACTGGACAAAATCGTTACATGTTTCAAGCATCAGGTATTATTTATTTCAAGCTCAAAGATGAGTGAAAATTAATTTTGTCTAATATATTTCAACTTCGAAAACATTATAATAGATTATAATTCATTGATATTGAAAGAGAAATGTGTGCACAATATTTGAGTAAACTTTTTTTTTAGTAAATCCTTTGCAATAAATTCAAAATTAGCAGTATTTTTCCTAATTGTATTTGTGTTGTTTTTTATACAGAAACAATCTAGACCAACCTCCTTTCTCATATTGACAATTTGTTTATTACTGGTGAGAAACAATAGCTACAATAAACAAAAAAACACATAATACAAAAAAATATATATTGATACACAGAGAATCCAAAACATTAAATATTGCTGTAATTCTATAATACTGTAATTATAGTCAAATGAGAAAAACCAAGAGAGGAGAAGTCATAGTGTTTATAGAAAGAAAGTCAATTTCAATATTTGAACTTGTATGGTAAGTCTTATAGGAAAATCCTTTAGCACTGAAGTCATGTCATAAGAATGAGTAGACAGCTACTTTTACACATAGTCAGTACTGTAGATAACTGTTAAGAATAATTTTTATCTCAATAATATTTGTGTTGTAATGATTGTATAATTCTCCCTTCAGACAATCGCCAACTTGCCAATCATTGGAACCTTTTTGATCAGGTTACTCAGTTTTTTATCAAAGGTAAGAAACACTGACCACAGTAATCTTCTGGAAATCTCTGGAAACCAGTTATTAAAGATTTTGTATTCATTCTTAAATTGATATTATTAAATATCTATTTTAATTAATATGAATTTGTTGCATATAATTTACAACTACAGAAAATCGTATGGTTCATTCCATCACTGATCACTGCATGTAGAAAAACAAGAGAGGAGATGTTATAAAGTTAATAGGAAAAAAGTCAATTTCAGTATTTGACCTAGATAAGCCTGCAGATTGTAGGGGAAAATACTTCTATATCCTTTTTTCTCACTGTATAAAATCCACTTTAAAACCTTCTTGGACTGTATAAATAATTGTAATAATTGTGTAGTATTAGTACTGAGTAGTGTAAAACTGATTAGTTTTCTCTTATAAGAATGTTGTAAGTGTTTACAGTATTTGCAGTAAGGAAATACTGTACTTCCATACCTAATTCCAAAAATTTTTGAACATTTTAATTACACGTATAGTAAACAGCTATCTTATCTTATTTATTAGGTAGGGCTAATATCCTTTTATGGTAGGGCTTTTAGGAAAATTCCTTAGCACTGAAGCCATGTGATAAGAATGAGTAGACAGCCACATTTACACATATAGTCAGTACTGTAGATAACTGTTAAGAATAATTTTTATCTCAATAATATTTGTGTTGTAATGATTGTATAATTCTCCCTTCAGACAATCGCCAACTTGCCAATCATTGGAACCTTTTTGATCAGGTTACTCAGTTTTTTATCAAAGGTAAGAAACACTGACCACAGTAATCTTCTGGAAATCTCTGGAAACCAGTTATTAAAGATTTTGTATTCATTCTTAAATTGATATTATTAAATATCTATTTTAATTAATATGAATTTGTTGCATATAATTTACAACTACAGAAAATCGTATGGTTCATTCCATCACTGATCACTGCATGTAGAAAAACAAGAGAGGAGATGTTATAAAGTTAATAGGAAAAAAGTCAATTTCAGTATTTGACCTAGATAAGCCTGCAGATTGTAGGGGAAAATACTTCTATATCCTTTTTTCTCACTGTATAAAATCCACTTTAAAACCTTCTTGGACTGTATAAATAATTGTAATAATTGTGTAGTATTAGTACTGAGTAGTGTAAAACTGATTAGTTTTCTCTTATAAGAATGTTGTAAGTGTTTACAGTATTTGCAGTAAGGAAATACTGTACTTCCATACCTAATTCCAAAAATTTTTGAACATTTTAATTACACGTATAGTAAACAGCTATCTTATCTTATTTATTAGGTAGGGCTAATATCCTTTTATGGTAGGGCTTTTAGGAAAATTCCTTAGCACTGAAGCCATGTGATAAGAATGAGTAGACAGCCACATTTACACATATAGTCAGTACTGTAGATAACTGTTAAGAATAAGCTCATAATATTTTTGTTGTAATGATTGTGTAATTCTCCAGACAATCCTCAACTTGCCATTCATTGGACCTTGCTGGAACAGGTTATCCAGTTTTATATCACAGGTGAGAAACACTGACAATAATCACTTTCTGGAAATCTCTGGAAAATAATAATAAAAATGTATTGTTTTCAAATTTATGTTATTATCTGTTTAGGTGCATATCATGTACAACTACATCTTACAGTTTATTCCATCATGGATCACAGTTTTTTTTAACACAACATATCTAGGCTATAGCAGTCAAATTCATTGGCAAAAGGTACCATAAACGTATCAGTGGTAAATTTGTCTAATATGACACTTTAAATTATCCACTCGAAAATCTAAAAAAAAATCTTGAGGTCTTAGTATCTCTAAGGTTTCCTCAATATATATTTTTTATGTGATATAAGTTAAACAAAGTATTATAGGTTAGTGCATCTGGAAAGTATTCATAGCGCTTCACTTTTTCCAATTTTTTTTATGCTACAGCCTTATTCAAAAATGGATTAAATTCATTAATTTCCTCAAAATTCTACACACAACACCCTTATAATGACAATGTAAATAATTGATTTAAAAAATTGAAAAATCACATGTACATAAGTATTCACAGCCTTTGCTCAATACTTTGTTGATGCACATTTGGCAGCGATTACAGTCTCAAGGCCTTTTGAATATGATGCCACAAGCTTGGCACACCTGTCTTTGGGAATTTTTGCCCATTTCTCTTTGCAGTACCTCTCAAGCTCTATCAGGTTGGAAGCGACGGTGTACAGCCATATTCAGATCTCTCCAGAGATGTTCAATAGGATTTAGGTCTGGGCTGTGTCTGGGCCACTCAAGGACAATCACCAAATTGTTGTGAAGCCACTCCATTGATATTTTGGCAGTGTGCTTTGGGTCATTGTCCTGCTGGAAGATGAACCGTCACCCCATTCTGAGGTCAAGAGCACTCTGAAGCAGGTTTTCATTCAGGATGTCTCTGTACATTGCTGCATTCATCTTACCCTCTATCCTGACTAGTCTTCCAGTTCATGCTGCTGAAAAACATTCCCACAGCATGATGCTGCCACCACCACGGATCACTGTAGGGATGGTATTAGCCTGGTAATGATCAGTGCCTGGTTTTCTTCAAACTTAACACCTGGCATTCACTCCAAAGAGTTCAATTTTAGTCTCATCAGATCAGAGAATTTAGTTTCTTATGGTCTAAGAGACCTTCACATGCCTTTTGACAAATTCCAGGTGGCTTCCGTCTGGCCATCTACCATACAGGTCTGATTGGTGGATTGTTGCACAGATGGTAGTGCTTCTGTAAGGTTCTCCTCTCTCCACAGAAGAACGCTGGAGCTCAGACAGAGTGACCATTGGGTTATTGATCATCTCCCTGACTGTAAGGCTTTTCTACCCCCGATCACTCAGCTTATACGGCCGGCCAGCTCTAGGAAGAGTCCTGGTGTTTCCAAACATCTTCTACGGATGATGAAGGTCACTGTGCTCATTGGAACTTTCAGAGCAGCAGAAATATTTCTGTAACCTTCTCCAGTCTTATGCCTCGAGACAATCCTATCTCAGAGGTCTACAGGCAATTCCTTTGTCTTCATGCTTGGTTTGTGCTTTGACATGCATTGTCAACCCAAATTTAATCAGCTGAAACATCTCAAGAATGATCAGTGAAAACAGAATGTACCTGAGCTCCATTTAGAGTTTCACAGCAAAGGCTGTGAATTCTTATGTACGTGTGTTTTTTCAGATTTTTTATTTTTAATATATTTGCAACAAGTTCAGTTTTTTTTCACATTGTCATTATGGAGTGTTGTGTGTAGAATTTTGAGGAAATTAATGAACTTAATTCATTTTTGAATAAGGCTGTAACATTAAAAAATGTGGAAAAAGTGAAGCGCTATGATTACTTTCCAAATGCACTGTATAAGTCCATAAATAAGATGATGGGTAGGGTTTATATACTTATCTTAATAAGGGTTGGGTTGTAGGGCTTGTGTGGTTGGGCTAATAAGAAAAACCCTTAGCACTGAAGTCATGTCATAAGAATGAGTAGACAGCCACTTTTACACATACAGTCAGTACTGTAGATAACAGTTATTTTAGCTCAATAATATTTGTGTGGTAATGATTGTGTAAATCCTCATTCAGACATTCATTGGAGATCTCTGGAACCAGTTACCCAGTATTATGTCACAGGTGAGAAACACTGAAATCTTCTGTAAATCTCTGGTAATTTATTTTAAGAAACGTATTGTTCTCAAATATATGTTATTAATTATCTATTTTGGTTCATATAAATTTGTTGCATATAATTTACAACTACTGACATTCTTTAAGGATTCCACAATGGGGATTCCACAATAGACTATAGTGTAAAAAGAATTAAGACCTTGTTATAAGATGTAAGAAAAGACTTTGGTGTCGCCAGAACTTGTCTGTAGAGTTTCAGCTAAAATAGTCTGGAATGAGACAGGTTTCTTATTTGAACATTTGTGAAACATTTTGGTTTATTATTCACCACACAAACCCTTTAAGCTTTAGAAGAAACACATGGACAGCGTTTATTGTAACTGAAAACTTTTTCACTTTCACTTCTTTCACAGGAAATGACAGAATCCTCTTTTTGGATTCTATAGTGTAGAACTATTGTACACTTGTGGTGAAAGCTCATGCAGTTGCCTTTCTAGGATTTGACCTGTTAATGAAGGGTCTCCAACATTCATCTTTAACCACTAAGAACCTAAAGTTGAAAGTTTCCTTTAATTGTGTAAAGTTACCAGTGATTTAAATGATTTTTTAAAGGAGTAGTTCACCCATAAATGAACCCTCAGGTTGTTTCACACCCAATTTATTTGTTCTGCTGACCAGATCTCACCACACATTTACTGACATAGTTAAAATTCTGATTTATATTTTTCATAAATTAGATAATAAGTATAAAATAAACACAGTTATTGGAATAGCCGTATAACAATACAAAAACACAAAAATCATTGAATAATACTATTTAAAGATAATAAATTTATAAAACACATTTTGTTGCTTACACGCATGGCTATTTTGAATCCTTATAGCTCACTTACTGTAAAACTGTTCCTTCCTCTTTTGTAGAAGCAATTCTAAAACTACTGAACAGAAACCAGTCAATTGTAGTCACATTTTCTTCCCAAAACAGGACATTAAAGCCATGAACTGACATTCTCACTGTTTCAACAGAACAAAAAAAGGCAAGACAGTGATGAGGAAAGATCTGCTTAAAAGCAACAACAAAGGTGAGAATCAGATTCAACTCTTGAGATTATTTGAGTAGCACATTATTGTACTTTATTTAAAAATGAATAATAACAAACTGAATTAAAACTCTGAATTTCCCTCCACAGATGTCTCAAAGATGGTCAAAGATGTAGATGACAGTGACATGGACTATGTCAAAAAATACTTAACAAATCATTAACTTTGGTAGATTAACAGTACAAAGTACAATACACATATATTGAGACTTTAGATCAGGGGTCATCAATCCTGGTCCTGGAGGGCCGGTGTCCCTGCAGGGTTTACCTCCATCTTGCCTCAACACACCTGCCTGGATGTCTCAAGTATACCTAGTAAGACCTTGATTAACTTGTTCAGGTGTGTTTGATTAGGGTTGGAGTTCAAATCTACAGGACACCAGCCCTCCAGAAAAAAGTTTGGTGACCACTGCTTTAGATGTTCAGCATGACAATGTAATTAAAATCCATTAAATAAAGTGATTCTCAACTGTTCCCTGGTTCATTTATTTTCTTCACTCTGATAAACATTTTATCTTTATATTGATAAGATGATAAAATAAAATGAATGATGAAATAATGTTTGCAAAAGTGCTTTCTTAAAACAGAAATCTTTGCTATTTCATATAATGTGCTACTACACAACACTTTTGTACTTCAAGGAAGATGTCAACCTAGATGACCCATCATTCTCTTAGAGGACCCTTAAAATCTGTATAATAACAGTATAATTAAAGTTAAAGTACTCAATGAAAATGTCTAACAGTGTTTTTAATTAAGAAAGAGTTGCAATGCGTCAAATTGTATAAAATAATATTTTATGTAAAATTTTGAAGAAAAGTTTACTCAGGATGCCTAAAGATAAATAGGAATCTTGAATAAAAAAAAAAATTCATAAATTGTAATACTGTATATTTAAATGCATGACTTAAGTAAATTTTACAAACTAAAAGTCAATATTTGAAAATCTTAATTAAACTTAAAATTTCTCATTAAACATACTAATAATTATTTTTAATCTTTTACTTGGCAAACTTTGAAGATTTACTAGCTTTTACTGAGTGAAAATAGTTTTCAAGCTTTTTTTTACAGTAAACCCTACTCATTTTTTACAGTGTAATATAACTAAATTGGTATATATTGTACTTCACATGTACATTAAAAATATAGTAGTACTTAAAAAGTACAATAATGTTTCTTTTAAAAGGGTACTGTAGGCACAGGGTAATATTTTTTATTTTTTTAGAATCTTAATTTCAGAGTATCTCTAATGTCTGTGGTGGAAAAGTATGCGGAACATGACATCAATTATCAATTAAACGATTAGTGTCTCCATAAATCTGAAACAAATGCATGAAAGACGTTATGATGTAATCAAAGATAAAGGCTCTCTGATATGTAGCATTATATCAGCAACTAAAGATTTATGATATAAATGAAAGGGAAGGTTTTTTATTTTTATTTATTTAGTATTGCAGAAGGACATCGTGCACGTCGTGTAAGTTAAGCAGCAAATCATTATATTATAACCACATTATAATTTTTGTCCAACAGACTGAATTGTTTTCACGATTAAAATAGTCTAGATAGTAAAACTGTTCAAACCATTCGTGTTTTTTAAGGTGTGTCCTGAATATAAAGTATTATATGACAATACAGTTACGTTTAGAATATCTAGCTTAAGCTATTCCTATGAATCTGTGAAGGAACAATTATATAAAATGTATGTCTATGCTGTTGAGAAGACTGAAAAAAAGGAGCAGTGGCAGGTTAGTAAATTAAAAGCTGATTCTATAAAATGAATGCAAAAATAAAAGAAAAACATTCTAGCTAACTCGTTTAGTTTATCTAGCTATACAAATTATACACATCTGATGAACGTTGTGCAGTTATGCATAGGCTTTTTGGCAATTTTAATTTATAGACCTAAACACACATAAATGTCATATAAACATTAGCATATACATGTCATGTATCCTTATACAGATATGTTTCTGAGAGGGTGCTCGCTGCAGAGCCATTTGAGGAGAGCTGAGCTCCAGCGAGGGGGAGCTTAAGCTTGAGCTCCACCTTTTTTGCACTTCTTCTACGAGTGATGTCACTGGGGGTAGGGTTAGGGGTGGGGGTGGTGTACGCATTAAAACAGCTTACAGGAGGAGGAGCGACAGCTCATGCTCCCCCTCGCTGGAGCTCAGCTCTCCTCAAATGGCTCTGCAGCGAGCACCACTTGGTTTTATTTGCTTTTTTTTTTTTTTGCTTTGTACAAGTGGCGACATCTGTTGGTCATTGGTTTCAACCAAGTCTGTGAAGTCACATGATTTCAAAGTAGCACTTTACAGTAATGGTCCATATTAGTAAATGATTAGTTTATGTATTAACCAACATGAACTAAGAGTGAACAATACTTGTACAACATTTATTAAGTTCAACATTTAGACCAAATTTGAATTAATAAAACCTAAAGTTGTTCATGTTATTTTTTTAATTAGACTGTGAGTTATGAACTAACAATCAGTTCATGCTAACAAATAGGACATTAAACATTAACTAATGGAACGTTTTGTAAATTAAAAACACTTAAGTGTTTTTAAACAGATAAATAATGTTGATTATGAAATATCTGTAATGTCACATTGTAAATCATAATCTAAAAGATAATAATTCAGATTGGCTTTGTGTACTTGTCACCTTATAAGGTTTCTTATCTGACAATTTTGTCAAAATTAGGTTATTGACGTAATCTTAGTAAATGACAACTTGTTTACATTATGGGATGTTTTTTATAAGTTGTTTACATTTTAAGACTTTTTAAAAAAAATAAATGTTACTCACATATTGTTTGCTATGGAAAGCTCAATATCTTAAAATCATTTAGGACGCAGATAAACTTATAATTCCAAGGTGACAAACTTTTTTGTAATTTTGAGTGGTCTAAAGATAGTTTTGGTATAGTATAACACCCCAAACCATTTTTGAATCTGTAATGGTTTAATTTAAGAATTAATGTTGTACCAAAGTAGGTACAAACCCTTTTCACTGGGGGCAGTATTTTTTATGGAACAGAGTTGTACCTTAAGACAAAGAAACAAATTTGTGCCATTGCAGTTTGTTTCTTGTTATTTAAGGACATGATTTGTACCCTGGGAAACCAAAATGTACCTTTGGTTTTTAAAATCTGGAGATTTACTATTGTACCTTCACCAAAGGTACAAATCCGATCCATGAAGGTACCACTACAGTTACAAGACACTTTGTACCCTAACTGTGTCAAATGTGTTTCTTCTGGAACTCTTTAAAGGCATTTTGCTCTATCCAAAATGCATCAATTTATTTTCAGCAAATATAAAACAACAAATAAATTTTTACATGTATTTGCAAAGTTTCTTATAGTCAGTTAAATCTCAGTTGAAGAAACAACAAATCTAAAGCAGACAGTCTACTTATACTCAAATGGACCATCAAAATAAAGTGTTACCAAAGTTTCTTTTTGTGTAAAGGCACCTTTTCCATATACAATAAAGAATTAAAAAGCCTTTAACATAAATCAAAATATCTATTTTTTTGCTAAACATTTTACAACACTTTCACAAAAATCTTACAGCAGTCCATTCTCCCATGTACAATTTAAAACATTTTTTTCTCCAATTTTCACAAAAATATCTTTGTAAAAGTTCATTCATTCATTCATTTATACATTCATTAATTCATTCATTTTCTTTTCGGCTTAGTCCTTTTATTAATCTGGGGTCCCCACAGTGGAATGAACGGCCAACTTATCCAACATGTTTTTTTATGCAGCAGATACCCTTTTAGCCGCAACCCATCTCTGGGAAACATCCACACAAACTCATTCACACTTATAAAGTAGGACAATTTAGTCTACCCAATTCACCTTTACCGCATGTCTTTGGACTGTGGGGGTCACCGGAGCCCGGAGGAAACCTGCACGAACGCAGGGAGAACATGCAAACTCCACACAGAAACGCCAACTGACCCAGTTAAAATTTCTTTTGAAAGGGTACCACAGAGTCAAATATTTTGTACCTTTATTTCTGAGAGTATCTCTTTTGTCTGTAGTGGATAAGCAAGCAGAGCATATATGATATTAATTATCAAAATGATGTTGAGTATCTCGATAACTCTGAAATAATTACATGATGTTACGATGTAATTAAAGATAAGGCCCTTTCTTGTAGCATTATGTCAGCAACAATAAATCAGATAAAGATTTAGGATATAGGTCTAAATCAAAGTCAAAAAATATTTTTGCTGTATCCTAATTTGAAAATAAGGTAATTGCTGTTTCTCAATTCCAACACAGAGAACGGACTTGCGTTCTAGTGGAGACCGGTCTTGCCAGGTGTCCTCAGAAGAACGAACTCGGGATACCGCGAGGACAGAGAACGCATCCTCTGAGAAATGAGATGCTAGGTGCGTTCGACATAAAGCTCAGCTGCAGCCGGTGATCAACGAGATTAGCCGAGCGCAGACGGGGCGGAGTTGAAAACGGAGCCGTCAAGACGGACAGCTGGACACTTCGGGACTCAAAGTTGCTGCAGTCATGATGACCGATCACATGGCGTCATCATATTTTTTTTGTTATTTTTATTTATAACAACAAAACATTTACAAATAAAACAGAATACAGGCTCTTCAAACTATAGTTCCTTTTTAAACAATAAGAGAGAATTATGAATAAAATATATAACAAATGCATGAGAGAAATAAGAGGAAATGAGAGGTTAATATAAACATAAAAACGAACAAGTCTATTAAATACAAAGCAATAAGCATAAATTCTAGGAGTTAAACATCAATCTTTAGGCTAATACTTCTTGTTTGAATCTGCTAAAAAAGGGTTAACATATATGTACATTTATAGATATAAAAATTTCCCATGTAAAAAGCAAAACAAGGTGTTTTGATTAGGTCTTAATAAATGACATTATTTTGGATGATGAATGAATTTTCAAAAAAGCATTTTAATCCAAAAAGATTGTGTTGAAAAGAACAAAAGGTAAAATAAGTGAGCTATGTAGAAGTTTCCCAGAAAGAGCAGGTAGCCTTTAAACTGCTAGACAGAAAATAAAATATATATTTATATTATAATAATAAAGCCATTTTATAATTATTTAATAAAATAGTTCTTTACTTTAATTTGTTAAGAGAGCTTTAGGGTGGCAGGATCAATGATGATGATTTTCTTATTTCAAGTCTGTAAGACTTATTTGAGTTCATATTTAGGTTATTCACTAAAATATACACTAAAATATATCATTTAAATCGTTCATGGAGATGAATGCAGTAAATAGTCTGTATAAAAAAAGTTGAAAATAAACCTGTGCAAATAACCTTTATAACCAGATTATTTAACAAAAGATGATCACTGCAGTAAAATATTTTTAGTCTTTTAATAAGCAAGATGTGTACAGGATAGAGAGGGTGTGAAAAGTGAATTGTTTGTTTTGAAACTTTTGAATCGGAATTTGTCCAATTATAAACCCGAAATACACGTGTTTGTTGTCATGTGGTGAACTCGGCCAATCGTGTAATATCGGTGTCGTCATCAAAGCTCCTGCAGTCGCTCTTCTGAAGCTGCACGGTCTAAGTTTGCCGTCTGATCTCGGAGCGCTGTCGCGGTACTTTGATGCCACATGTGACAGTCACGTGGCGTCGGCGCAGCATCAATCCGGACAAGATTTCTAACCAGAATGCACCGCTTTAAGACAGATTTCGATCGATCTGCGCAGCGCTGCATGAAGTCGAACGCACCTGCTGCGTTCTACGTATGGTCACATGACCTTTTTGAAATGGAAAATATTTTAAACATTAAAGCATTCATACAGCGATTTTTTTTTGTCATTTTTTTCAAAATATACATGCATAAAACATTATAAATATATGCTGCACAATATAAATAAAACAGATTTTAATACGAATTTCAGCAAATAAACACTCTTAATGTGTTCCTTTATTAAGATGTCCATGGTGTTTAACGTTACCGTTTCATTTAGGGAAGCTCCTGAGGTAAATGAGCGATATCTCTGAATTTTAATAACAATTCTAGATAAAATGCTGTGCTTCCCACTTCCAATCTAATGAAACTGAACTTTGGCAGCTGATGATGACGTTACACGAGGGGACGCAAGACCGCTGAAGAACATATTGAGAAACTGCCATTGTGTGAGTATACCAACAAATCAAATAACCACGTTAGATTTTTTTTCCAACAGACTGAATTGTTTTCACGATAAAAATACAGCTGATTAAATAATATTTATTTTTAAGTGTCCAGAATGACAAATATGATGCTTAGATTATCTAAAGCTTATTCTATAATTCTGTGAATCAAGAGCAGTCTCGCAGTTTTTAGCATAGTCATCGATGTAAATCTATCAGGTTACAAATCACGTGCTGACAAATCTAAAAGTCCAAACGAAAGCGAAAGATTGAGTTGTTTTGAAGATTCAATCAGTGCGGGTAAGTAAAATCTGATTCTCTTAAATGCACGCAAAAACAAAACAAAAGAAAATCCCAATGAACCTTCTCGTTTAGTTTTACTCTTTTGACCTATTTTACAATGATGCAAATTATAGCCTACACATCTGATAAACGAAATTGTGCTTTTATACATATATGCTTATTAGGACATTCTTTATTTATAGAACTAAATTTGGATTGATTTGCATACAAACATTAACATACAAATACAAAAACGTGTCGTATCCGTATACACATACATTTCTGCACTGTATTAAAAGACCTGCGTTTTTTGCTCGCTGTTGCTTTATTTTGTACAAAGGGCGACATCTATTGGTCATTACCTTCAACAGACTCACAGGCACATCACTCACGCGAAGTCACATGATTTAAAGGTAACGCTTTACAGGTCCATGCTAGTTAATGATTATTTAATGTATTTACCAACCTAAACTTTTACTTGTACAGCATTTATTAATCATGGTTCCACATTTAGGCCTACTAATGATAAATTAACAAAACCCAAAATTGTGCTAGATATTTGTTAATGGACAACATGACCTAACAATAAACAACTTTATTTTTATTTACTTTAAAATATATATAAGTAATGTAATAGTACTTACTAATAGTACTCACAGCAACCTTCTTGCTGTGAGGCGAACGTGCTACTCACTGCGCCACTGTGTTTTTTAACTGATAAATAATATTAATTATGAAATATTTAATGTAACATTGTAAATCATGATCTAAAGAATAATGATTCAGAATGGTTTTGTGACCTTTAATGAAAGTTTGAGTGGTATATAAATATTTTTGGTTAAGTATAAAACTCTGCTGGGACAAATGGACTGTGGTTGTCTTTTTGGATGAACCATCTCACCAATAAGACCAAATATTGATCATGAAATATTCTGAATGTAACATCGTAAATTATAATCTAAAGAATAATGATTCAGAATGATTTTGTGCTCCATCAGGTTCAAGAAATCAACAAACACTGACACCAGAGTGAAGATGGCAGAACCCAGAAATCAGCTTCACAAGATTGCTGGTAAATGGCCAAACAGGGCCTTTTTCTTTTTCTAAAGACTTGGATTTTAAAGGAAATAAATCATATTGGATGACTTTTTAAAAAGATTACTATGACTTGAGTAAATTACTCTATATTAACCAATAGTTTTCTTCCTCCTGAAGGAAAGAAATGCTACATCCTTATACCTGGAAGAACCTTCCAGTCTCAAGAAGCCTACATAAACAATTACCTTGAAGAACTGACTGGTCTGGAGATGGCGCCCAGTGTGGAAGAGTGTGATGTCATTTTGGTTTTTTGCGCCATTCATTCTCGGGCTGGAACTGACATCGACTCTGCAGTGAAACAACTAAATGCCTTGTCACGTAATATATTTACTGCTTATAAGTAACATCAGTATCTGAGTATCAAATAAGACCAAATATCTAAACAGTTCTCCCTGGAGCTATACCGTACCTTTCAAGCGACAAACAACAAACACGTTAATTTTATGAAGTGTATTAATTAGTGTTGAAGTATATATTTAAATATGCTTCATGTAGTAAGAATGCTATAAATAAAACCCTCTATGTACTATAGTAGTATACTTGTAAGTCTACTATTTGATTACTGCTAGGTGCAATTTTGGCCCAGTTTTGGCATATAAAAGTATACAATAATTTTACTATATAAAAAGTTGGTCTTTGTTATTTACGAGTATTCATTCATTCATTCATTCATTTTCTTTTCAGTTTAGTCCCTTTATTTATCAGGGGTCGCCACAGTGGAATGAACCGCCAACTTATCCAGCATATGTTTTACGCAGCGGAAGCCATTTTAGCTGCAACCCATAACTGGGAAACTTCCAAACACACTCATTCACACACATACACTACAGACAATTTAGCTTACCCTTTATTAGGAAACCCACGTGAACACAGGGAGAACGTACAAACTCCACACATAAACGGCATCTGACCCAGCCGGGGTTTGAACCAGAAATTTTCTTGATTTGAGGCGACTGTGCTACCCACTGCGCCACTCCTACGAGGATTCTCTATTGGCATAATGTATTTTATACTGAACCATTAAATAAACTAAATTATATATTATAAACCACAAAAACACACAACCTAAGATTCTTGTCAATTCTGGAACTCGATCCTGTGACCTTTGGATCACAAGTCTGTCTCACTAACTACTAAGCCACATCTAACAACTGTTTCACTATGTTAACAGCATCTAAACCCGCTGTTTTTATGGTGGGCCATCACACGTTTGACTCAGAGAAGACGGTAACAGACAGCAACAAATATGTGACCAGGATGAATACATTAACAGTGGATTGTCTATTCAATGAAGATCTCCTTCTGAACTTCCCGAGGAACATGGAAACTCTGGAGAAAATAAAAGAATGGCTGCTACAACAGGTATGGAGTTGTTTATTATGAATCATTAATGTTATATAGATATATGTAATTTTGGGTGTATTTTTTAATCCACATTTGTAGTTAAATTAATTGAATATATTGGCACAATACAGTATATATTTATGCTTATTATGAAGCTTAATAGCAAGGCTTTCAAGAGCTCAGAAAGAAGAAAAAGTTATACATTTAATGCAAAATTTAAATGCATATATCTGATTTTAACAACAAATTTAAGTGGCTACAAACTGTACAGGAATGACATTTTAGTAATTTCAAAACTTTTTAAAATGTAGTTTATTATTGCAAAAATATGCAGCATAATTTAAATTGACAGACGCTGTTGTTTTATTTAGACTTAAGTTGTAATTAGGCTTAAGTAGAAACCATCATATAACATGTAATGGTTTAATTGTATTTAACTGGTATTTTTTCCTTGTTTTGGTGCCATGATAAAATTAATAACCCTAAGGGTGCCATGTTAAAATTAATAACCCTAAAAGATCTAGATATATCTAAAACACATTAGAAATCACTAAAACATACTGGTTGTGATGGTTAAAGTTTGATATTTTTTAATGTGTTTTAATGCTAAAGTGGTTTTAAGGCTATTTGTATCGGAAGCCATCCAAATTCCTCTGATGGGTTCTAATGTTTTCCCAACAGAGCAGGGAATTATTTGAGAAATTAAATAGTGATTAAAAGAACTGTGTTTGACTGACTGGAGGTGACTTGTCTTGCCATAGCAATGATTCAACAAAAGTTAAAGATCTTATATGTGATGTTATTTTTTAAACTGTGGTATAAAATATTTTTGGTTCAGTATAACCCTCTGGGTGAGACAAATTGGGCTGTGGTTGTCTAAGTTAATAATGGAAAACAGTGCTGAGTGTATTGCAAAGCTATTGTACAAAACTGGTATACTGAACACTACAAGCTAATGTGACAATGCATAGAGCATATCCATTAAATGATGAGGAGCATTATTGTTCAATTAAACAAATATCTGTAATATCTCTCTCTTTTTTGATTCAACAGGACACACAGAAACCATCAGAAGAATGTTTGGGTTAGTTTTTTTTTATTGTTAATGTTTTATTACATACATAAATATACTGTATAAACTTAACGGCCACTTTATTAGGTACAACCTTTTGCCTTCAGAACTGCTTTATATCTTTGTGGCAGAGATGCAGAAGCTGGCGAATGAGAGTTATGATAATGACAGGGGATTCCTCAGCCATCTTGATAAACTATTTAGTGGGTCAGCATATTCACTTGCAAGAGTGAAAAGAACATAAAATACTCTGTCATAAAATGAATACTATAGGGTCAACATTTATTTGCATATACTTACAATATTAGCAAAAAAATAAATAAAAAATTAACTTTATTAAGTAAAGAAAACCAACAGGGTTTGTTGTGGCATCTTAGTGAACTTCTTTCTAGCACTGATTTGATTTTTATAAGAGTAGACATGAATTGTTTTACGTTGTCGTAGCATGGTGTTTAAAAGAGCTTAAGGTGTTGCAATTTAAGTAAAACACTTGCAACTACAAAAACACAAGCAAATAAAAAAAAGATCTTCTTCTGTTTGACAACACGTGTGTTGCAAATCCTCAGAACACATGAACGTTAAATAAAAAAACATTTTCCCACAACGCAAGAAAAAGAACACAAAAAAGCAAAGAAGGAAACACAACGGAAATGTTTTAAGGTGACCCTAAAATGTGACTGATGCTGCTTTGCCGTGACTATTAGTCAGGGAAGTTGCAGGTGATCTTTGAAAGTTGAGTTTTTAGTTTGTTTGTTTTAACATCCTGATTCCTGTGTCTTTATATTTTACTAGCTTTAATAAACCTAAACCATAACCTAAATACCCTCTGTCACGTTTTAGGGTGCCCTTGATACATTTCCTGTGTTCCGAGCTGTTTGAAAATGTTGTGAGAATACATCTAAAATATTTAAGTATAATAAAAAAGTAATGTAATGTGTGACATTTAATTTTTACACACGTTCCCACTTTTATACACGTTGATCAGTCTTAATAGATTTAAAAGTGCACTTGTGTGTCCGCCTTTACTATTGATCAAGTGATAGAGGTTGATGCTAATGCTTGTGTAATCAACTGTATTATATGACTGACTATATCAGACAAATTTTCATAGATATTTTGTGTGAAATCACTGTTTCTGAAATACTCAATCTAAGCCATGCAGCACCAACAAAAACTCCATGTTTAAAGTAAATTAAATGACTGTATTCTGATGCTTGGTTTAAACATCAGCAGTTCATCTTAACCCTGTCAACATGGCTAAATACATTGAGCTGCAACGTGATTGGCTGATTAGATATTTGCATTAATGAGCAGCTCAGCAGGTGTACCAAATAATCTGGCAAGTGAGTGAGAATATGTGCATAATGTAATACAGAATTGTCTGTTGTTGAGTGTTTTCTTAAACTGTATATGAGATGGATCTTATATATTTCCAGATCTGGGCTTAAACACTTATTCATTCATACTTTCTCCAGACAAACTAAGAGTTTCATCAGAACTGATACTCGTGCTGCTGGGCACATCTGGGTATGAGAAGACTGCAGTTGCAAACATGATATTTGGCAGAGAAGACAGTCAGGAGGATTTATCTCAGGCCACCCAAAGGAAGACCATAGTGGAGGATGGAGAGGTGTGTGTGGATGTGGAGGGGGAACATGAAAGGTGGAAAGTGGTTCTTTTCAACACTCCTGACAAGTTAAGCTCTGGACACTTTGAGGAAGAAATGCAGCAAAGTTTATTTCTCATCAGCCTGATTAGCCAGAAACCTTACGCTTTGCTCCTAGTCATATCAGAAAAGCCATGTACCGAAGAGAGAGAGACAGCAGTGAAAATGAAAGATTTTCTTCAGGAGAGATTCAGCGACAGGCTCTTGATCATTTTTACTGTTACAGATGAACCAAAGCTGATTGGAAATGTTGTCCAAGAACAATGTGATCATGTCCTCAACATTAGTCAGAGAGAGGACAGATCTCAGGTTTCAAAGCTGATGAAGAAGGTAGAGGAGAAGCTGCCAGGACGTTTTAAGAGTAGTGAATTAACTGATTCTAAAATAGAAACAGCTATAACAAACTCAAAACAGGTGCTGATAGGAGAGGCTAGGGATTACAAAAAAAGGACACTGAAAAATCCTACGCATACAGTCTGGTTCTCACCAGAACCCAATGAGCCTTTTGTATTAATGAGCAAAGTGTCATATATGGAGTAGTTTATATCCTGCATTAAAACCAGGATGATATACAAAGCCCATGTTTAGCAAAATGCATAATATGAATACAAAAGCTGAAATGCCACATTATTGTAATGTGTGTTATGCAGAACAATTGAATCATTTAACATACTCTTGTTCTTTCACTTTTCAATATAAAACACACCAAATGTTCCAATATCTTGGCTGGGAGAGCACAGATAATCATTGAATGATCATTGATTGAGTGTGTTTTAAATTTGAAAGAAGGACTTTGGATGGCGTTTGTGTTTGTGTAAAATTGGTATTTCCCTCACTGACTTGATTAAGGGAACTGTGTTTTCTTTTGCTTTCACGTGATTTAAATAAATCTAAAATGTGTATACATGTTTGTTCATATACTGTATAAGTGCATTGTTCAATTAATTTAATAGTTTTAATATATATAATATATTCAATATCATTTCTGTATACATAACAGTTGGATTCAGAAGACAAAATTTCAGTAAAAGCTCAGCTCCCTCTAAATAAAAATTCTGTCCTCATTTACTGGCAAACATTGTTCCAATGATTTACCGAAAAAAATTCTGCTGCTGTAGAAGCATTTTAAATCTTTATTTTAAAATTTATATTGAAATATGAGGATGCTTCATCTCAGATTTGACATTCATGTGTTTTTGTCTCCTAAATACTGACTTTAATGTTATAAATAATTATTATTTTAAAAAGTACATATATGTAACTTAGAAGGAATGAAACAAGATCACATCACATTGTAATACAGTAAAAGAGCAATGTTGTAATTTTTACCAATTTTCAACATTCAGAGAATTGAACCTTCAAAACAGCATTATAAATTACTGTTCAAAAGTATTTTTTAAAAAAGAGGATTATATAAAAAAAATAAATAAATAAAATATATATATATATATATATATATATATATATATATATATATATATATATATATATATATATATATATATATATATACAATTACCAGCGTCAAAAATGGCTGATCTGTTCGGCAAAACATCTGACTGTGTGTCACCGCATCCCTTAAGGACTAAAGTGACATAACTAGAGAAATCTCCACTGTGCTGAGCGAGAGCGCTTACTGAACAGCGCAGCATCGATGATGTAAGCATGCCCAGGCCTGATTGTAATGAGTGCGGGTCGTTGGGGGAGACGAAAGGAGGAACAAGCATGCTTTGGCCCGGTTCGAGGCAACTGTGCATAGTGTGAGTAAGGCCTCTTTGGCAAGAATGCACTTCAGCTACCTTTGAAGTCCATCCAATCTTAGTCCCTTTATTAATCTGGGGTCACCACAGCGGAATGAACTGCCAACTTATCCAGCATATGTTTTTACACAGCGGATGCCCTTCCAGCTGCAACCCATCACTGGGAAATACCCACACACTCTCATTTACACACACACTCTACGAACAATTTAGCTTATCCTATTCGCCTATACAGCATTTCTTTGGACTGTGGGGGAAACAGGAGCACCCAGAGGAAACCCATACGAATGCAGGGAGAACATGCAAACTCCACACAAAAAAGATAACTGACCCAGCCGAGGCTTGAACTAGCGACCTTCTTGCTGTGAAGCGACAGCACTACCTACTAGGCCATTATTATTATTGTTATTATTATTATTATTGTTATTATTATTATTATTAAGTTATTACATTATTTAACTTTTGTTAATGATATCAAAACTGATTGAATCATTCCAGAATGGCTGAATTACAGATATGTGGATAATGGAAAATATTTCTGTCCTGAACTTCACTGAAATGGTTTATTATGAAACCATAAACACATGCTTTTCCTTAATTACTAATTAATTATCTTGTGACAAAGTTTCTCTTTTCATATAAACACTTTGATTTCCTAGTACAGATGAAGGAAGCTTTAACACGAAACAAAAACTAATGGTCACATCAGTGGCCTGACCTCGGCAGTATAAAATAAAGCCGCGTGAAATTATTCATAATATCATCTCAGCAGACACTTGAAAGATCATCTGACATCACACACAAAATGAAAACTGCTGCAGCTTTTGTTGCTCTTGGCTGTTTCCTTATGGTGGAGGTGAAAGGTGAGTTTATTCTCAAATAAATCATGTTTCATGCTTGTTTTTCCTCATTTAAATCATCTTAGCATAGTGTGAAATTTGAATTGTGAATGAATACTGGACTGTTTCAGGCAAAATACCGGATCTGAAAAACAGATGTTTGTGTGCTGATAAAGGAGCAAACAATGTCAATCTAAAGACAATCGAGAAGATTCAAATCATCCATCCAAGTCCTTCTTGTAAAAGACTGGAGATTGTGTAAGCACTTTGGAATTTTTCTAGTTGAATGTAAAATTATTAGCCTTATTTTTTTTTATGTTTCCAAGTGCTGTTTATTGGAGAGAATATTTTTAACATCATCATCATTTTCTTTTTGGTTTAGTCCCTGTATTATTCTGGGGTCTCCACAGCGGAATGAACCGCTAACTTATCCAGCATATGTTTTACGCAGCGGATACTCTTCCAGCTGCAACCCATCACTGGGAATATTTTTAACATATATTTCAAAATAATAATTTTAATATTTATTTTATAATGACTTAAGTAATTGCTGTGATGACAATATATAATATTTTACTAGTCATTTAAGTTTTTATTTATTATATTACTATTTAAAGGCTTAACTTATTAAGTTGAACCAAGATAAGTTAATTAGACAAGTCATTGGACAACAGTGGTTTCTTCTGTAGCCAATCAAAAATACATATTTTCTTAAAAGGGCTAATAATATTGAACTTAATACTATCCTTTAAAAACAAATAAGAATTTCTCCAGATAAAAAAGAAAGAAAATACTGTGAAAATATTCGAAAAAGAATAAAAACCAAATCCACAGGAGGTCTAATCATTTTCATACTTCAGCTATCAAATCAAACTGTTGTTTATCTCTGCTTTCCTTTGTAAAGTGTCACCTTGATGAAAGGAGCAGGAAAGAAATGCTTGAATCCAGAGTCAAATTTGGGCAAGAATATACTGAAAGCCTTACGAAAAAAGGTCAGCATGCAATATTTTAATTCCCCAGTGTTGAGTATAAAATCATAAACCGCAGGCCAGTGTGATGTTCTCTAACTGAATGTAGTGCACAAAAATAATAAAATGTTGTTTTCTATTTTCAGAAACTGACAGCAGTTCGCCGAATGAATCCAGCATAGAGCTCAATGTCCTGATCTTCTCAAGAGCAATCTGTGATGATTGATTAATCTACAAACCATAAGATCTAATAATCATCTGCAATCATCTGAATCATCACAATCATCTGAATCATCGCAGACTTCATTTATACTTTGATTTAACTGACCTCTAAATGCTTCCATCTATCCAACACTTTAACATGATATGGGTTGTTTTAGCTCAAATGTGTGTAAAATATGGCTCATGACAGCAAGGAAAAAGTCATAAAAAATCAACCCAGATATTAGTCCATGTGTTACTAAAAAAATGAGTTAAAACAACCTACCATTCCTTTTTAATACAAATGAAGAGTTCAGTGTGTGTAAGTGTTTGTATACTTTCAAAACACATGTTTTAACCTACCCTCTCACTTTTACCCATTGTGTAGCTAGCTGTATTAGCATGGTGCTTTGAAATTAGCAGGAGGTTGATACACCATTCTTTACTACAGTTTGACCTGATTTAATACAACATCATCTAAAACAGCAGAGGTACTAAACAAAATATTATTTTGTTATTATTATTTTTACTTTTTTACCACAGAATTTGATTTTCTGTTGTGGCTTCCGGAGAGATTGCAAGACTGACTGGAATATCTCCATGTGTGAAAACTGAAAATGTTACATGACCCTTATTTTATCCCTGATTCGTGGAATTGGTAGTGTTGCAACTCTCTCTGTGTTTCAACTATACCCGTTCACCTCTATTATCTAAATTTTAGTAAAAATTTGCTTTTTTCTCAGCCTCCTATTTTTATGTTGAGTTATTTAACTTTAAAGACTTTGAAAATTCTTACAATTCTTTTCCATAAAAGTAAAAATTACTGAACCTACACACAGGAGTCTAATAAAAGCCCTTAATTTTGAAGAAAGTTTCGGACAGCTTAGAGTTTTTTGCATGATCTCTTCAAATGTAATTAAAGCACTAGATTTCTGTCAAGTTCAAGATTAAACAAACCCTAACCCTAACTGTAACAACATAGATTTATCTTTAAAGTTTTTAATTTACTCTTATTTGATAAACACAGATGTGTTGAAAAAAGGAACTGTTGATCATTGTAAATCCTGTGTATTTTCCCATCTGCCAATAAAGCATGAAGTACAATATCTGTTTCACTTGACTGACTACATTGCAAACATCTATTAAGCAAAGAGACTACAGTTAAAAACATAAATAAACAGTAAATAAAAACAATCATAAATGATAAATAAACAATCATATCAACAAAAAGCAACAATTTGTAAGTGCTAAAACAAGTCCTGTGCAGTGAATCTAACATATTATATGGGGAAACATTTTATGAGGGAAAATGCCTTGCCTGGGGAGTTCAAATAGGAACGTCGTTCCAAAAGCAGGTAAACGTCAACGTAAATTCTTTAAAAAGGATTTTATGCTTTATTTGAATGGGATCACAATGCATCCAGTTTATCGTTCATTGATAAACAGATCTAAAGGTATAATCAAAACAAGAAATATTATATGTCTGAGTAAAGGCACTTTACTTTAAAAAACCTAACCACAGGTTATAAAAGTTGCTTGCACACACTGCCTGCAAAGTGTGTGAGAGACCTACACAGTTCCATTTGGAAGGACTCATAACCCTTAATCCCTTCTAAAGTGTTTACCCTCCTGAGTGACACCTTGGAAGTGATTAAGGCATATTCAATTAGTACAAAATGCAGCAGCCAGAGTTCTTACCAGGTCTAGAAATTATGATCATATCACTCCAATTTTATCCTCCTTACACTGGCTGCCTGTTAAGTTTCGTATTTAATTTAAAATATTACTGCTCACCTATAAAGCTCTTAATAATCTAGCTCCTGTTTATCTAACCAACCTTCTGTCTCGCTACAATCCAACTCGCTCCTTAAGATCTCAAAACTCAGGGCTTCTGGTAGTACCTAGAATAGCAAAGTCGAGTAAAGGAGGTCGGACCTTCTCCTTTATGGCTCCTACACTATGGAAAAGCCTACCTGATAACATCCAAGGCTCAGACACACTCTCTGAGTTCAAAACTAGATTAAAGACCTATCTGTTTAGTAAAGCATACACTCAATGCATCACTTAGCGGGTTTCCACACAAGTTTCTGCATCTTGTTTATTTACACTATGAACAACAGCTACGCTAATTATTCTCTTTTTTTCTCCATTTCTACCTGGGGATACTCATCCCGAGGGCTTCAGATTATGCAGAGCCACTGATTGGATCCAAGACCAGCGACGAGATGATCTCAAGGTTTCCATATCCGGGACCAGGCCGTATCCTGAGCTGCTGCTGCGCTGGTGGTCATGGGGGAGTGGAGAGTAAGAGACTGATTCCAGTGATGCTGAAGGGACAGACGAGTCTTCGCTGAGGCCAGCTTCCAGCCTCCACCTCTGAGACTGCAGCTCTGCACAAGACTTTTGGCCAGCGGAGAAATTAAAATGGTCGTGCCCAACTGAGTCTGGTTTCTCTCAATGTTTTTTTTTCTTCACTCTCCTATTGGTGAAGTTTTTTTCCTTCTCCGCTGTCGCCTCTGGCTTGCATGGTTCAGGATCGGTAGAGCTACGCATCGATGAATTTGCTCTTCAGTGTTTGGACTCTCAGTAATGACTTTAAACCACACTGAACTGAGTTAAACTGAACTGAACTTAAACACTAAAAACTAGCGCTGTCAAAATTAACACGTTAACGCATGCGATTAATTTTAAATAATTAACGAGTTTAAAAAAATTAACGAAATTAACGCAGTTCAGGTTTTTTTTACTTCCTGTTGTGGTGGACGTGTGTTCAACATGCAATAAATGTGGATAAGACCAAGGAAGCACTTTTTGAAGGCAAGTTCCAGTTTAAAACAATTAGTTGCATCACAAGTTATCCAGAGTTTCATGCAATTTCGGGTGTTTCATTTTTAACTTTCGACATCTGTTGTAAGTTATACCGCATGGCGAACAGAAAGAAAATCCTCCGTATTTTGTGACTCTGTGTTCCTTTAAGGTAAGGTTCCTTTTATGGCTACACAGTAGAATTTTAATATGAGTATTATCTTAATCATATTAAAATCGGAGTATTGGTGTCTTATGTGAATGTACTCAGAACGTCTGGTGAAGTTGCGACAAAGACAGGGCATTACTCTGCCTTTCAGCATGAGCCCTCCAAGTTTAGCGTGTTTCCTCATTAAACGCAACGAAAGCGTATGCTTCGCGTTGTTGTGTCAGAATCATTGTGAAATACAGTAATTAGGACGCTTAGTTTAGGACGCTTAGCAAATTTGATGACCGTGATCATGCGTGTTGAATCTGAGGGGAGTCGCTCTAGTATGGAAGGCCGTTGGGGCCCAAACGTCTGCAGCGCGTTGTGTGTGTCTGTCTGTGTGTGTGTCTGTGTTAGGCCTGTTGAGGGGTGTCAGGGGTGGAGTGAGCGACGTATCTGAGTAGGGGCGAGAGGGGTGTGCAATGTATTTAACGACCGGTTTGCAAGGCATTTGCGGGCATTTGGGAGTCTCTGTGCACTTGCGGGATACTCCTAGTCTTAGCAACTGGATGAATGTAAAGGACTATTAAGCAAAATTGTTTCTATACTATAATTAATGTTCTCAACTCACAGCAATAAAACTTTCCAATGAGTGCAACAGTTTGTATTCTACAGTTTATTATTATAATTTTTCATTTTCAATATCTGCAATTCCTGTATTTTGGCATTTTTTTGCAGTCCACTAAGAATCCAACATGGAAATCAATGTTTTCTTTATTGGCATTGATTGTTTTGAAATTTAAATGTCATTAACATGCCTGTGTTTTAATTTCTGTAATAAATATGGCTGTCAAGCCAGGATCTTGATGGTTTATTGTGGGTATGTTGTTTACATGAAGAAATCTGTGTAACAAGTTAAACAAAAATTCTATTAAACAATAATATTTTGAATTAAAAAAAATTTTTCTTGCGTTTACATTAATTTTACATTTAAATAGGCAAAATTACAAGTTTCAGTATTTTAAATGCAATTAATCGCGATTAATTTTTTTAAAAAGGTAAGATTAAGTTTTTCTTTTTTTTATTCGATTGACAGCACTACTAAAAAACTGAACTACCCTGATCCAGTTACTTTGACCATCTATGTCAGGGGTGTCAAACTCAATTCCTGGAGGGCCGAAGCCCTGCACAGTTTAGTTCCAACCCTGCTCCAACACACTTACCTGTAGGTTTCAAACAAACCTAGGACTCAAGGACTCAATTAGTTTGATCAGGTGTGTTTAATTAGGGTTGGAACTAAACTGTGCAGAGCTGCGGCTCTTTTGGAACTGAGTTTGACACCTGTAATTTATATGAAGCTGCTTTGACACAATCTACATTGTAAAAGCGCTGTACAAATAAAGCTGAATTGAATTGAATATGGATGAGTTCTTCTGAATGGAATTGTGCGGGATCAACGTGTCCATCAGTCGTACCCTTTGAATTCCTTCAATCCTAAGGACTCTTCAAGTTTTGAGCTATTCAATTTGGAAGGACGTTTGAATGTGGCAGCCATGGTTGTTTACACTCTGAAGTGAACTTATGGGTTCAATATTTCCCATTTGTAACATGTTGTCAGTGATGTGAGAAACAAAGCTTTTCACAATAAATAAATTGAAACAATGTAACAAATTGAAACACCCATGCTGGCATTACCCGTTGGTAAAAATGCAGCTCAAACAAAAGGCTCAAACAACAAATTAAAATTGTCCATCATTTTCCAGTTCAACCAGTAGCAAGAGTGTTGGTCAGCCAGTACTAAGCCAGAGGGTCTATAGCTGGTGTGGGATCATTATGGCAGATGCCACACGGGTGAAGAAATTTAAGGATTTGATGACATGCACAGGAAAAATCAACAGGGTAAAACAAATTAATACACTGACAGCGCTATTAAAAGAAAGGTTTAGACTTCAACCAAGACTCAAAATTAACAGAGTTTCTTCTCTGACTAGACAAAAAAAAATTGAAGCTTTCACGACACGTTCTAAAATAATGTGAGAATAAGAATACTCTTAAAAGGGAATGTGCATAGGGTTGCCTGGAAAAAGTTTTTTTTTCACTAGGTGACATCACAAACTAATACATCTTTATGTTAATTAAATCACAGCGATTAAACCCTTTCCTTTTCTTTGGCCTGATTTGTGCCTGATTCCTTGAGCTGCCACGGTGGAATGAACCACCCCAACAATGAAACAAATAATGACAAAATACATATAAAGCACAGTACTTTGACACACACAGAAGTTAGGGGGTTACTTCTGTCTTATACATCTTGAATGAAATATTTACTTCTGTTTTCTCTTTCTTTAAAAAGGACGAGAAAAGCTCAGATTGCCTCTTTGAGGTAAAACAGAGCATTTCTCAGAAGCACTTAGATCTGGAGGAAGTCTCATGTCACATGTGACTGTTGTGTGATTAAAATGCTGCAGGAAGCACAACAAACACAACATCCTTGAATTATATTTTATCCTCCTGATCAATGCACTAAAAATAATAATAGCGGTGCACTGCAACTTTGACACTAAACCTGCTTGTTGATCTTGTGATGTGAAGATTTCCCTTTTAATAAACGCTAATCAGTACCTAATGAAAACAGATTTAGTTTCATCGGGTTTGGTCTGTGATTATTGAGGGTTTATTTGAAGTTAAAATTGAAAAGATATTTTAAAATCAAGGAGAAATAAAAAGAAATTCTGGATTTTAATCCATGCTTTGAAATGACCTCCAGCTCACTAGGTTTTGCAATACAAAAGAACAAGTAAAACCCCTTAATATATCAGGGGAAGCCCATGTTCCTACAGAGCGAATCACACATACAAATTAGGCAAGAACCAAGACTTTTGTATCAAGGCAACTTAAACATCCTTATGACAAGAGGAATAAAGATTTAAAACACTCAGAGTAGCAAAGTCTGTTAAATAATAATAATAATACTAATAATACTAATAATAATAATAATAATAATAATAATAATAATGTATTACATTTAATAATAATAGTAGTAATAATAATAATAATTATTGGTAATAATAGTACATAATTAGTTTTGTACATCCATTGTACTGAAACAAACCTACTAAACTTTTAAGTTCTTTAGTGTTGGGGTGGGCTGGTATGACTTGGCAAATTTATGCCAACTAATGATGTCATTGTCATGTAAAAAAGAAAGGTAATTCCCAGGGAGCCTTACAGTACATTATAAAGCTCACATTCACATTCTTTCACATCTAGTATACCACATATTGGTCAAACATGAGACGCACCATCTTTCTCCTGTCCTTGGTCTTCCTTATCTGCTTGGCTTCTACTGAGGGTAAGAGCTTTTTCACTCCTGATTCTTGGCGTTGGGCTTATACCTGTACCAGCTTTATGAATGCAAAGTTTATTTACATTTCCGAAGATGCTTCATGTCTTCTGACTACATACTGGAAAGCAAGTAGTCTGTATTTAATGATGAATCAAAGTACCTTAAACCACTGGATATGTATTTTGATTAGATTAGATTTAGAAGTACTGTTCGAATTTTGAATGACATTTTGTTGCAGTTATTAATTGTTATAAATGAATTCCTTATATGCCTATTTAATGTGTAATTAATTAATATATTTATTTAAACAATGTTTTGGCATATTTGAACGGACACATATTCACAATCATGCACAGTATCCAAAACAATACATTAGCAATTTGTGGAAAAAAAAATCCAAGAATATGTGTAATATTCAATTATATTTATTAGCCAACTAATGCATTAGATGACTTTATGTAAAACACTTTCAAAATTTAAAAGTAAAAAATTTTGCTTGTATTTGAGAGACCGCATGTATAATAATACCTAAAACGTTTGATCTTTTGTCTACATATTATTCTATTCATGAGGAAAACAGCTTATAAATCATACTAAAATTAATTTATTTTTGTACTTTTCGGAGTTCAACAAAATGCAGTTTTTTGGTATTGCAAGTTTGTGTTTAGGTGACAGAATACAATTTGTACAGTATGAAAACCATAACGCCTTGTGGAAAGTCCCCAAAAAATGGAGACTGTGTGTGCTTGTGGGTGTGAGGTGTGTGTAAAGGGTGGGAGGTGGTATGGATGCTCAATGGGTCAACTAAAGTTCTAATGCTTTATTCTTAGGAAAAACATTGGCAAAGGATAGGATCTCATATTTAACTTTTCTTTAATGAATATTTCTACCTGTAGGCCAGCGGATGATCTTCAGAAAGCGATGCCTGTGCACCAGAACATATGAACATCTGCGACCTGGAAACATCAAGGGCTGGAAAGTGCACAACCCAAGTGCTCTTTGTGATGTTACTGAGATTGTGTAATGCAATTTTTTTTTTTTTTACTTAGAATAGTTTTATGATGTTTACAGATATTTGATGAGCGTATTCTAATTGCTGTATATTTTGCCCACAGTGTGGTTTTGAAGAAACCTCAAGTATCTGTCTGCGTGAATCCTGAATCAAAATTAGGACAACGACTAAAAAAGCAATAATATGTTCACTTCTGGACAGCTGAGCACCAAGTACAAACCAAATCATTCCTTCGGATGAATATGATATGAGTTGTGCATTTGTATCTCGGTTCAAATGGAAAAGCAGACGTTGATTTATTTTTATTAAAACATGTTAATGTTAGGATAAAAAATGTCATCACACATTTTCCTATACCTTTACTTTATTTTTAATAACAAAAATTTAAAGCGTTGTATTTAAATGAAATATTATTGAAAAAGGAGACTTGAAAGGAAGGACTTAAACCGTTACATCATTCTGTAGTTTCACTTTATTTTGGATGTTTGGATTATAACATTGTTCCTATTATGTAATTTGCCCTGTTACTATTGTCCATTGTTATACATGTTTCCAAGTTTGTAGGACAGTGTTTTTCTCACAACATATAAGCATTCAGAAGAAGCAGACTGATAAGCCTAAATTCATTGACCTTTTTTATTTTTAATGACGTTCTTTTTCATGTTAGTTTGTAAATTTTTTATAATATATGCTTATATGTCCAAAAAAAAAGAGAAGGTATTAGGTATTCAGCGGGGAAAACCCACACAACTTTTTTTTCAGGGTATCTGATCGAGCTGATACTGCATAATTGTCTTGCTTTGTTTTTTCAGTACAGAATGTAAAAAAAAAAGTTGTACATTAGACATTATATAAAAACAAACACCTTCCATTTTTACTTTTTGTTTAGTTTTATTTATATACTGATATATTTTATTTTAGAGTTTGACATTTTGCTCTAAAGCGGTCTGAATCAAACTGAATAAACAATAAACATGAAATTCAAAATGTCTACTGTAGTTTGTCCCTCTATTGCTCTGTTAAATGGTGCTTAACTGTTCAGTAAAACCTGTAAAACCTGATCATGATGTCGTCTAAGGGTGAAGATGATTTGAAGCACGCCTGCCACACTGTTATTCAAAATGTTGCATCATCAAACATAAATGTATTTTTTGCGTAATAAGGAACTTAGAAGAAATGTTGTGTTTTCCTGTAAATTGTACCTAACTCACTATAACAAAGTTACTTTTTGTTTTGGTTTTGTTGAGAAACAGCCCAGCTTATCTTGTTGGATAATGCCCCCTACTGGACACAACTGATGTATAAAAGCCATGCGTTACAGTAACAGTTTGTTCTGCAGACAATCAAAAAATACTTAAGGGGGCTAATATTGACCTTAAAATGGACATAAAAACATTAAAAACTGAATATTTTAGCCGACATAAAGCTAGTCAAAATAAGAAAAAGATAAAAATATATAGAAAATACTGTGAAATATTCATTGCTCTGTTAAACATCATATGGAAAATATTTGAAAAAAAAATACTATATATATATAAATAAATATAATTAAGATATTTAAAGTGTATTGAAAGAGTCTTGTCGTCTTTTTAGACTTTATAATGAATAACTGACACTTTGCAAATGTTTTAGTGCCATAGTAGAACGGCAGATGATAGCTAAATAACATCCAGGCTTTTGAGTGTAATGTTTTAGATATTGTGTGTAGATTTACATATTTGTAATGTTAATATTGCGTTTTAAATCATGTAATTCTATCATAATTTTATGCAATGCTTTATTTTAATTTTTGAAACGGAATGTATTTATTCATTTGCATAAGCCAGGTGTTGGAGAAATAATTTTGTTTACTGTCATTTTAGGTGTGTTATTGATACATTAATATTTAAGAATAATATTCTTTTTTACAACAACTTGCCAGTTTCAAAGATATAGTGGACAGCAGATGACAGAGAAAATCGAATGATTCTTAGGTTTCTATTGTTGTGATTAAGAGTAAATATTCAGGGTAAATTAACATAATTTTATATTAGTAATGTTTAACATTGGATGTATATATTTAGATATTAGTAATGTTAATATTGCAATATTAATTTAAGGTTATGCACATTTAATATTTTTAATATATATGCTATGCAACTATATTTATATTAAAGGGATAGTTTTATTAATTACAATTCTAACGTCAATTACTCACTATTGCTTTGTTCCAAACCAGTTTGAGGACTGATTTTGTTCTGTTGAACACAAAAGATTTTTGAAGAGTGTTGTAAACCTGTAACCAGTGTGTCACATCCATTGACTGTAGTGGTCCAGTCTTTTTTGTTTCTTTTTTAGTTTTACTTAACAACTTCAGTCCCCATAATGCTTTGCTGCTGTGATTTGTAAATTAAGTACAGGTGTTTGTCACTTGGGTTCTTATATAAGCATTTTGTGTTTGGGTTTTCATTGCATCTGGATGTTGCATAGTAAGTACTGTTCATAGGTTTTGTTTATCCTTCAAGAAAGTCAAATGTTTCCAGTTTTCTTCAAAAGATCTACTTTTGGATTTCCTTTATTTGCTGACCAGCTTTTTGCTGGAATCTCCCAATAGAAAATAAGATGATGTACATATGATGTACATATACGTTGAGGAAAATAATATTTTTTGTCTTTTAATTACATATGAACAAAGTGGATTTTTCAAAATGATTCAACTCCTTCTCAGTAATCAATAGAAAAACCTTTTTTCTTGCTATTACAGCAATCAAACATTTGCTATAATTGCTGACCAGCTTTTTGCATGTCTCCGCTGAAAATTTTGCCCATTCTTCTTTCTGGGTGAGCTCCAACTCTTTTGAGATGAAGGGTTTCCTTGCCATCACCCTGATCTTTAGCTCCCTCCACAGATTCTCAGTTGGATTTAAGTCAGGACTCTGGCTGGGCCACTGCAAAAGGTTAATGTTTTTCTCTGTAACCTTTTCTTTACCAATTTTGCTGTGTGTTTGAGTAGTTGTTGTGCTGAAATGTCCACTAGTGCCCAGTGGACATTTCAGTGGGCAAGTTTCTTTGCAGACTGCCTGATGCTTTTGTTGAGAATTTTTGGATGTATTAATTGTACTTGATTTTGCTATTTACTGTGATAAGAATCCCTGGTCCACAGGCTTAAAAACACCTACCAAAACACTACGTTTGGTGTTCTTAAAGTTTAAGGCTTTTTCTCTTTTTTTTTTTTTTAAATAAGACTACATTATTTTGGCCAAACAATTAAAGTGTCTCAAGACCCTTAAGACCCGACGTCTTCTTTTTCCAGAGAAGCATTTGCAAAGCTCAAGCTGGCTTTTGTGTGCCTTCCCTGGAGTGGTGTCCTCCTTGGTCTGCAGTGTCTGTTAGACAGTCTGCTTGAGATGTTGCCACCAGCAGAACCTTTTTTATTTATTTATTTTTTAATCTTTTTCACTATCCTCCTGGCCAGCACAGGACAATGTTCTCTGAGTTTTTTTTTTTACAATGTTGAACATTTTTTATTTTTTAAATAATACTGGAACGTCAAATCATTTAGATATGGTCTTATAGCCCTTTTCTGACTTCCTCAAGGAGCTCCTTTGTCTTGCCTTTGCCATGACTGTCCACAAGCCAAGCTTTGGATTTTCCAATTTGTAAAGGGTATGAATAATATTGGACATGCCACTTTTTGTTCAAAGGTAATTACAAGAAACAAAATATAATTTCCACAATGATGACTCTTGTACATTGTCTTATTATCTTTTGGGAAAAGTGTGTTCGAAAAAAAAAAAACTTGCTATTTGAATAAAAGAATTTGCCAAGGATATGAAATCTAAGCATGAATGTTTAAGTAATTTATAATAGAGATAAAATAGAGAAATAGAGATAAACTTTAAAATAATAATAATAATAATAATAATTTTCCCAGTGTTGAATTGCAGCTGGAAGGGCATCTGCTGCATAAAACATGCTGGATAATAATAATAATAATAATAATAATAATAATAATAATTTTCCCAGTGTTGAGTTGCAGCTGGAAGGGCATCTGCTGCATAAAACATGCTGGATAAGTTGGTGGTTTATTCCTCTGTGGCCATCCCAGATTAATAAAGGGACTAAGCCGAAAATGAATGAATAATAATAATAATAATAATAATAATAATAATAATAATAATAATAATAAATAAATAAAAAATAAAAATAAATAAATAAATAAATAAATAAATAAACAAAAAATCAGCCTATGACTTTGCCATCCATGTTTTGGGCATTTCATATTATGTTCTTTAACCTTAAGTTTTTTTTTATAGCCGTTTTTTTTTTTTTTTCAGTCTGCATGTAGGTGCTTTATATTGATTGTTAATCCACAAGAGATTATGATTATTGGGTTCAACGTTCAGGTTAGAACAGGATTTCATCACTTTTGAAATGGACAGTGACTTCTAAGTAGCATGTAAAGTGTTATTGTATGATTATGTTATATACTGTACGTGCCTTTTAGGGAAACACATGTAGTTGCTATGAATTTTTAAAAAAACAGAGTGCTCTTACAAACCCAGCCCTGGTCATTTCTGACATTTTGGCTGCATGAAATTTGTTTGTTTGGCTGTTTCTGGAGTGTCAAAAAACTTGAAAAGCTAGATTAAATCATGTGGGATACTTTGAGCTGAAACAAATTTATTGATGAAAAATCATTGAAAATTCTATTTACAGAAAATAAACCCGAGCCCCAAGAAATTCTCAGGAAAAATACATAATGCATACAAAATACAAATCAACACTGTAAAAAGTGTTACTTAAATAAAACTTTAAAAAATTAAGGCAACATTTTCCAATTACTTTTTGTAAGTTTAGTGAACTTCTTGTTATTTTGATTTGGTAAAAATCAATATTATTATTTTACCGTTTGCAAAAAAATTAAGTAGAGTCTACAATATAAAGCAAAATTTTTGAGTTTAACCAAAGTGTTAAAGATCAGTATATTGATCAAATAATACTTAATTAAAATAAGTAACATTTAAAATAAAAAAATAATTTATTTGATTTTAATTAAATCATTTTCTCTATTACTCTTAGTTTATACAAATTGTTTTTTAATCCAACTTTAATAAGGCAAGAGAGGTATTTGTCAAATGTTTATTACTCTATAACATTTGCCATATACAAACAACTGGGTGCACTTATAATCAATTTATAATCAAAAGTTTCTATAATCGATTTTATTGTTAATGTTGTAAACATTTTAACATTAAAAATTACAGAAACTAACCTCATCTTTAAGCGCAGCATAGAAGACCTTTAAATGCTATCTGTGTACACTAACAATAAAATACAGTGAATCTTGACCTGAGCAATTCACATGAACAGACTAGCTTTAGTGCACAGTACAGTACATTTTCATATGTACTACGACATTGAAATAAAAAAAATAAAGTGCCTCTGATCTCAGCATTTGACATAACAAAACAAACTTTGCCCATATATACAAAAGCAAATCAAATGCCCATATTTGCTGCAGACTTATCCAGGAACTGAAGAAGTCGGTGCGTGACTACCACATTGTTCCAAGTCAAACTGTCCATTGAACAAAAGTGATGAAGCAAAGAAACAGAACCTCTGAGCGGCAACTAATTAACTAACTCTAATTAACTAAGAAGTTTTTGTGTCATGAATCGGGAGGAAGACTTTGGACGCAGTGTGTCAAGTCCCACAAAATGTCTTTGAAACACCTGAAATGTTTTGCTGAGTTTTGGTGGATACTGCAAGTTCATAGCCCTGGCGTGGTTTCCAAGACGAGTAAGCACAGGGATGCCCTCAATGATGATGCCCACCACATCTGGAACACGGCAGACATATATCTGCATATTGCGCATTTTCAAGTCTTCATAGACACTGCTCTCTGTTTTTCCCTGTATGAGAATAAACAGAACAATAAGTGGCAAAACTGAAAATGCCATTCTGACAGTTATATTGTCAGATGATTATGATTTCTGCATAATGTAAAACAAGGATTTTACTTTTGTGAAACTGCAGTTAAAAAATATGACATTATTTTTAAATCAAGTCTACAAGCAACTAAAAGTCCAAAAGGTTAACTTGGGACCCTGGTTCCTGCATATTCATTTAGGTGTTTGTAGGCGTGTTTCGAATGTTTGACAGAGCTCCATCTTTGTACTATAACTCAGTCAGACATAAGATTGATATCTGAGGAATGTGTGCCTTTCCCAAAAAAGTCAAACTATGCTTTTTAAACAATACTTACATAGTAGTCAGAGATCAGCTCTTGCCCACTCTCTCCCATGTATTCAATGAGGCATCTCAGAGCCACGTCTCTCTTCCTCACCACAGAGGTACTTGAATCCTATAGTTGGTAAGTGAATAATGAAAAAACGGAATATTGCAGGCAATATAACTACAAACGTAAAATGTCATTATCAGTGTGGTTCTGTACAACCTATTCAACAGAGTTCAACTCTATCTATCTATCTATCTATCTATCTATCTATCTATCTATCTATCTATCTATCTATCTATCTATCTATCTATCTATCTATCTATCTATCTATCTATCTATCTATCTATCTATCTATCTATCTATCTATCTGTCTGTCTGTCTGTCTGTCTATCTCTCTCTCTCTCTCTCTCTATCTATCTATCTATCTATCTATCTATCTATATATATATATATATACATACATATACACACACACACACGCACATATACATATATACACAAATAATAATGTATGTGTGTGTGTGTGTGTGTGTATGTATGTGTGTGTATATATATATATATATATATATATATATATATATATATATATGCACATACATATACACAGACACAGCAACACACACAGAGACACACACACACACGCTTTTTTTATATTTACCCTTAAAATTAATGACTTTGTTTTGCACTATTCACCTATTAGGCAAGATGAGTAAATAAAGTACTTATTGCATAAACATGCATCAGCCACATTGTTACCATGTTTGCCTTACCTGTATCAGTTCCAATAACTCCAATTGATGTTTTGACCAGTCGATGCACCTTTCGCACAAAACAGGTCAAGAAGTTTTGGAGTGTATTTGTCCAGCTGGGACATAAAAAACGATTCTTGTGGAACACCAGTACACCTTTGGAATTCTTCATTTATCTGTAATACATCAATTGTTTGTCTGTTATTTGGAACCAAATGTGTAAAGAATTGGCAACCTTTTATTCCTATGTAATGAAATCCTCCATAAAACATGTGAGGTAAAATTTTCAGTATGTTCAGCAAAAAGTGTGTCTAGCATCACATAAACATCTTTGTTCACCATTATTTGCCTTTAAACAAAAACAGAGTGAGCAGCATGTCATTGATAAATCATTTACCTGGGCAGGCCATCTTTCTTTAATTATTGCACATCTGGGCTCTGGACAACCACTTCCATTCTCCCCCAGCTATATGTCCTAGCCATCATGTCATTTATGCTTCTGACATCTCTCTAAAGAAGCAATACAAATTAAAAGAAGAGTTTAGGTAAACATCAGGATCATTGATAATATTGCAATGCAAATAAATATTTGATCTTTTAAATTGAACAAATGATTTAAGGCAAATTAAAATATTTCAAACAAATTATCAAAAGATAAAGTTAAACCTTTAACAATTTTTATGATAACGTTACATTGCAGAGAGAGGTGCTAAAAATATAATGTCCTCATCTTTTTCAATCAAGCAGGAAATACATTTGTGACTACAAACTTAGCCGTTAACTTATAACTGACACATGTACGAGGAAGATAGCCCATGCTAGTGGTGTTCTGCTAGCTAATTCGGAAAGAGGCATAACATTTAAGACGAATGATTTGAGACAGAATAATTCACATTCACCAAAGCTAAAGTTACTAGACAAACAAAATGACAATGTTTTGTATAAGTACACAAAACAGAAACATAATCTGGCAATATATCTAACAAATTTCGATCCTACGTTGTCGTGAAGTTTTACTTTGGATATAAACACTTAAATAGAGTTTTGTAGAAGCAATTTATTTTGAAGGTCAGTAAAACACAATTTTTTGATGGGTAATAATAAGTTACAAAAACAATCGCAATTTTTACTTATGTAAAACTTAAATTAATTCAAAATGGAAAGGTAATCAATTTATTGGAAGAAATATACTTTTTAAAATTAATTCCAATGGACAACACCCTTGAAGAACTTTTTACAGTGTGCTTTATTAAAGTTCACTCTTCATCCGCGGAATAATAGTCCTCCTGACTGGATGAGCAGTGCAGGTGTGGCGGTAGCCCCTGCTCCTCCTCCAGATGCTCCAGCGCACGGATCTCCTCTAGTACGTATGCCGGTAAGCTGATCTCCAGCGGCCGCTCCATCAGCAGCAGTTTCCGGCAGTAGTGTCTCTCGGTGCGGTCTACGGGCTTCGGAGGGAAAAGCTCGGTGCTCAGCAGGGCTTTGATCGGCCGGTCCCGGAGGTTTATCCGCAACACGCGGTGCGGTCTCCCGGGCACCCGCGGAGGCCGAAAGTCCCACCAGTTCTCCTCGGTTTCCCGCAGGAAGTGCTGCAGGTTCCGCAGCTTCAGCAGGCTCCGGGGCCCGCGGGTGGGGAAGCGCAGCTCGTGCTCGAGCTCGAAGTCTTCTATCCAGTCCCAGTGCTTGGGTCTGGTCCTCCGTTTGACTTGTCGGCGGAAGGCCTGCAGCTGCTGGTATTTGCTGTGGATGTAGGAGCAGCACTCGTTTATCTGGGCCGCGATGGACCTCGCAGTTCTCGCAATCGTCTTCGCCATCGCGCGCTGGGAAACAGTGCAAACAGCAGTAAAGTGGAATGTAAATTTGATAATCCGACAGAGAAATGACGGTTTAAAAGAACCCGCGCGTGTTCCGAGAGTGACGTCAGAGCCAGCAGCACGCGCCTTCCAAAAATGACGTCAATCCCAGCAGCCAGCAGTTGTTGTTACAAGTGATTATTTTCTGTACTTGATGATTTGGGGAACTTACTGTGTTATGAACGCTTTATGACTGTTCGTGACTTTCCTACTCACTTCAGAGATTATAATACTGTTCGTAGAGATATCCCCACTGGTGTAATGCATATACAATACATTAAAATAATAAACATAATCATTTATGCATCACGGTGGCACAGTGGGTAGCACAATCACCTCACAGCAAGAAGGTCACTGATTCAAGTCCCGGCTGGGTCACAGTCCAATCACATGCGCTTTAGGGGAATTGATCAACTAAACTGGCCGTAGTGTACGAGTGTGTGTGTGTAAATGAGAATGTATGCATGTTTCCCAGTAATGGGATGCAGCTGGAAGGGCATCCGCTGAGTAAAACATTCTGGATAAGTTGGCGGTTCATTCCACTGTGGCGACCCCTGATTAATAAAGGGAATAAATCGAAAAGGAAATGAATGAATGAACAGATCCATTTAATTCCTCAGCAAAGTCATCGTATTGTTCTGTGAGGCAGATTCTGTTGGGTTGCATTAGTTAATAATGTAGACTGGAGAAAAGCTTGGTTGTTGCCTTATAAATACTTTCTTCCTAATAAAAATAAAGGCATTTTAAAATACTGCAATAAAAATCTAATTTATTTACAAATATGTTGATATTCCGAGTCGTTCTCCAGTTTGTGGTAAGGATGATGAAACTGTAAAACTTTTATTTTGTATGTGTGAATGTGTGAAGTTTTGGTTTGACTTGCATTATTATTTAAACACTCCTCCTATCTTTAAGTTTAAAATAAATTATTTATTATTATAGATTTTGCACATGAATCTGAAGACTTTATCTTTATCTTTTTTATTTTGTTAGGAATTTTTGTTTTCCACATTTTCTGATTGAAGTTGACTGCTTAAATCCTTCTGTATGTGCAACAACAAAAAATGTGTCCGATTTTTGTTATTACAGTTGAAGTCAGAATTATTAGCCCCCCTGTTTATTTACAGGTGACATTACCTGCTGTTAATGTCACTTGTATTTTCCCTCTCTTGTATCTCTCTTATATTGATCTACTGATTGTAATTGTATATTTTCATTCATGAATTTAAGAAAATAATTTAAAACATTTTTGCAACAAGCGATACAAGTGAACCATTCTATCTTTCGGATGAGACGTTAAACCGAGGTCCCGACTCTCTGTGCTCGTTAAAAATCCCAGGATATCCTTGGAAAAAGAGTAGGGGTTTAACCCTGGCATCCTGGCCAAATCTGCCCAAAATCCTGGCCAAATCTGATGGCCTCTGTCCATCATGGCCTCCTGACTATCCCCATATCATCACTGTCTTCATCACTCTGTCTCCTCTCCACCAATCAGCTGGTGTGCAGTCTGGTGCAGTATGGCTGCCGTCGCCTAATCCAAGTGGATGCTGCACACTGGTGGAGGATGAGGAGATTGCCCTCAATGTGTGTAAAGCGATTTGAGTGCCCAGAAAAGCGCTATATAGATGTGAGGAATTAATATTATTGTTATCATATAGTTTAGATTATGTATTACAATACCCATAAAATTTGAATTACATTTTATTAACATCTACCCCAAACTTCACAGTGTAAAAGCAGTAATATACTCGTATCATTTCTTAAATTACCCAGTAAACAGTATTTTATTAAGGTCTACCCCAAACTTAAGCCCAACCCTCACAGTACGGTAAATATATACATATAATTGTTGTACAATGTCACAAAAATGATGCTATATTTATGCAAGTAGACTCAGTGGTTAGCATTGTGGCCTTGGAAGGTTGCTGGTTTGAGTCCCGGCTGGGTCAGTTGGTGTTTCTGTTTGGAGTTTGCATGTTCTCCCCATGTTGGCATGGGTTTCCTCCAGGTGCGATAGGGGAATTGATGAACTAAATTGGCCATAGTTTATAAGTGTGTATGGGTGTCTCCCAGTACTGGGTTGCAGCTGGAAGGGCATCCACTGTGTAAAACATATGCCAGAGTAGTTGGTGTGTAAATATACTGTGTTAACTTATAACTGACACATGTACGAGTAAGATAGCCCATGCTAGTGGTGTTCTGCTAGCTAATTCGGAAAGAGGCATAACATTTAAGACGAATGATTTGAGACAGAATAATTCACATTCACCAAAGCTAAAGTTACTAGACAAACAAAATGACAATATTTTTTTGTAAAAGTACACAAAACAAAGTAGAAACATAACCTGGCAATATATCTAACATATTTCGATCCTACGTTTGCGATAGTTGTTTTAAGATTAATGTTAAATTCCGTACTTTCGGTAAGGCCGCATGGCGCTTGCAAAACTGACAAACTTAACCGTTACTGTCAGGAAAGGCGATTTGTTTACATTTTACAGTGCAATAAATGCGTGCTTATTCGGCTAAAACCTAACTTTATGCAATGTAAATGGTTACTTACATGTGTTGCACGTTGTATAAAGCCCTCAAAAACTCCACAGAACTTCGAAACTGGTCCGGTACAGGTATGAGCAACGGTGTCGTCGCTCTGCATGCGTGCTGCGTCATGTGGGCGGGTCGTGAAGTTTTACTTTGGATATAAACACTTAAAGAGCCCATATTATACATGAAATAGGGTCATATCTTGGTTGTAAGGGTCTCCAACAACAGTCTAATATGCATGCAAGGTCAAAAAACACTTTCATGGTCTTATAATCTGCATTTATTTTTACCTAATTATCCCAGCGACTCCTGTATGAATCGTCCAGTGATTCATTTGTTCCCAAACCCCTCCTTAGCGCGAAGCTAATCTGCGCTGATTGGACCGATGACAGTCTGTCGCGATTGGTCGACTGCCTTCAGTCAGAGAGTGAAATGGCCAATAGCCAATCAGCAATATAAAAGTAATCACAGTTTATACACGCTCGATAGTGTAGGCGTGGATTTTAGCTGCCACACACCCACAAAAACACACAAACACACCTCCGGATGACAACGCTCCCGCTTCCGCCCGCACCCGCCAGGTTTTAGCATGAGAACCCGCTCCGTTTTCTGCCCGCCACGCCCGATTCCGCTAGAGCGGAGGAGAACACAACCAAAAATCACCCAGCATACAGTCCAGACAGCCAAGCTGTCTGTATAAACACACACACACAGCACCAAGCACACAAAGCTATAGTTCGCTCGCTCTCTCTCTCTCTCTCGCTCTCTCTCATACGCGCGCGTGCGGACTAACACACACACAAGCACCAAGCAGACTCTCTCTTTCTAATTCGCATAGCAATATCCGTGATATTGCTAGACAGCCCGCTCCCGTCCCAAATTAAACCCGTTACCGACCGCTCCCACGATTTATTCGGAAATTTCCGAATAAATCGCGGGAGCAGAACTCTAGCACGGAGCTCCATAAACAAAGCAGCACGCGTCGCGTTTTTAACGTGACTTTGCACGCGATAAGAGAATATAACGAGTTAACCTGATACAGTACACGCGGTTACAAGTAACAAATCACAACTAAATACATTTGCAAGTTAGAGTCAACGAGGCAACTTTAATCGCACGTACTTACACTTGAGAAATGGAAGAAACCCATCCTGACGTCCATCAGTAAGTTACTCTTTACTGATCCTTCCTTTAACAAACTCAGATGAAGTATTCTTTGTAGCATGTAGTTTCCAGTAGTTTCCAACTGCTTGGTTATAATGCTGATGTTTCATCTTTGGGTAGAGACTCAATATATCCATCTGCAGTGCGACTTCAATCGACCTGCATGTTTGTGTGCGTGTGTTTGTGGGTGTGCTTGTGTTTGTGGGTGTGTGTCTGGGTTTCTGCGTCAGAGGGCGGGGCCTCAGGTTTGAAATCTCCCGGGTTTGCGCGTGCACGTGAATAACTTGGTTTCGTTCGTACGTCATGACGAAACACCTAATGAATCGGTATCAAGGCGACTCGTTTGAAGCACTATGAGTCGACTCTTTTATAGATGAATCAACCGTTTTAAACACTGTATTCTTACAGATTTAAGCCTTAGCTGGATACTTCACTTCACTTAGAGCTGTGTTACACACTACATGGAGGGGAATTTCAAAAACCCATAATATGGGCTCTTTAAATAGAGTTTTGTAGAAGCAACTTATTTTGAAGGTCAGTAAAACACAATTTTTTGATGGGTAATAATAAGTTACAAAAACAATCGCACTTTTTACTTATGTAAAACTTAAATGAATTCAAAATGAAAAGGTAATCAATTTATTGGAAGAAATATACTTTTTAAAATTAATTCCTATGGACAACACCCTTGAATAACTTTTTACAGTGAGAGGACCGTGTTACATTCAGTCTAGTTCAATGCATTTTGTTGCATGTACAACTGTGTTATTGTCTAAGCAGGCACTGAAAATGCAGTGAAATGAATGAGTCTTACCGGCTTTGGCTGGGAAGACAAAAGTAGTTCAAAGGTTGAAATGCACTTTATTTGGGTTGAAGAAAGTAACAAGACAAGCTTCATGTCACAATGATGACATCACAAACAGGAGTGTGAAAATAGGATCATTATTTTAAGAAACAAAAAAAAAAAACCTTTATTAGGGTTCCTGATGAGTAATTTGTGAAGAATGAGTCATAATAGTTCACAGTAGAAATGAGTGGAGCCTTGTGTGGTCTGAATCCACTGAATGCACCCCCGCGAGGCCTTAAAGCCTGAAGCATCTATTCATGGTCGGAAAGTGGAACAAAAACCTCAATGCATATGTAGATGTTTTCAGGCCTATACATCCCACGTAAATAGTCTGGTATTGACCTTATCAAACCACTCGGATGGTGCTGTGGACTCTGTGTTTAAAGTTTGGATCAAGTGACTTAATGTCAAAAAACCCCCCCTTGTTAATTATTCCAATTGATTTAATTTTCCAGCCACCCCCATATTTTAATAAAATGACATAATTAAAAAGTTAATATGTAAAAAGTGACCAAAAGCAAAAAGCTGAACTAAACTAGAATGTTTATGTTTAAAAAACAGTGGCAAAGGCTAGTGCTTTAAAAGTACAAAAAACATTAGAAAGGTTTATTTTTAGATTCCCTGCAGCATGCTGAAAGTGTCCTGAGGTCCTATTGTGTTGATTCAAATGAAAGTATTTTAACCAAGAAGAGGATCCTTGTTCAGCTAACGCTAAGAGGTTAATGGGTTTTTGCTTAATATGATAAAAACAACTGATGAGGAACAGAAAAGTGAAGACGGAGCAGACATCACATATATATGTTAAGAATACTCAGAATTTGTGAAGAAGTAATTGGAATAAGTGAAGTAGGGTTTAACACTTAAAAAACAAAAATAAATCAAATCTGCATTTCCACTAGATGTTGGTTGCAAATATTTTATTTAAAAATGTGAATGGCACATTAAAACATCTTGAAATGTATTTATTAATTAATTACTTTGTTTGCTTAAACTATATACAACTAATTTTGGCATGTTTGACTATTTTTTTGTTTGTTTTTCCCCCCAACTGTGAGTTGTATGTACAACAAAAAAACATATTCTTAGTTGACACATAATTTCGTATATTATTACACATTATTGTTTTACAAAAATATATTTTAGTATTAGTGAACATTAGTATTATTAAGCGTGTATTAAGTACATGCCAAAATGTATGGCTTGTAACAACAGTTTTGAGCTGCAAAATCTTGTGTTTCTCTTCCTGGGATCTACATTCTGAAATAGAAGTGTGAAACTGTTTATTTTTCTTGTTCACGTTTGCTCAAAAACACATAGGCAAAAAGGTAACTTTAAAGGATCACCTGTGAACACAAATACTTATTTATTTGACTTACAGATTACCAGAAAAAAAAAGTGTGTTATTCATTTATATTTATTTATTTAAAACTGGAATTCTAACTTGGGGTTGGTATTTCTTTGCCATAAGGAAGGAAGGAAGGAAAGAAAGAAAGAAAGAAAGAAAGAAAGAAAGAAAGAAAGAAAGAAAGAAAGAAAGAAAGAAAGAAAGAAAGAAAGAAAGAAAGAAGGAAAGGGCATCACAGTGGCGCAGTGGGTAGCATGATCGCCTCACAGCAAGAAGGTCGTTGGTTCGAGCCGCTGCTGGGTCATTTGGCATTTCTGTGTGGAGTTTGCATTTTCTCCCTGTGTTTGCGTGGGTTTTCCTCCGGGTGCTCCTGTTTCCCCCACAGTCCAAAGACATGTGGTATAGGTGAATTGAATAAGCTAAATTGTCCCTAGTGTAGGTGTGTGAATGAGTGTGTATGGATGTTTTCCAGGGATGGGTTGCAGCTGGAAGGGCATCCACTGTGTAAAACATATGATGTATAAGTTGGCGGTTCATTCTGTTGTGGCCAGTCCAGATTAATAAAGGGACTAAGACGAAAAGAAAAGAAATTAATGAAAGAAAGAAAGAAAGAAAGAAAGAAAGAAAGAAAGAAAGAAAGAAAGAAAAGCAAAGCTGTTTCTTTTAAAGCCTTTTTTCTTATGGAAACTGCTCCAGTTTTTGCAGAATATCCAGGTTTTTTCCAGGTATTCAGAGGAGTTATTTATGGTCATTCGCTGATGTATGCTGGCAGAGTTAATAGGATGCTCTTGATTTACGGTAAGCCAGCGCCTGCTTATAGAGCTGTCTAAAAATAGACAAAATCTTCAGCTCGACAAAGGCAGCATTTTCTGTTCCCTTATTTTGCAATTTCTGTCTGTCCAACAAAGCACTCATGTTTACCATCAAACTATTTTAGCAAACAAGTTTTCGCCAAAATTTTCACCCAGTGCTTATTCATTCAGCACACTAAAACCCCCGTCTTAAACAAAACTGGAACTCAATTTAATACTTGACCCTTTGCTTTTTTATCTGCATGAAGGCCCGTTATACTATATAAATATACAGTATACAGATACTTGTTTGTATTAAATGTTGTTCAGGTATTGATGTGCTGTGTTTTAGATCAAGAAATTCACATTGTAGGCTACGTACTTAAACTTTGATGTTTTACATTTGACGTATTACATTAGGAATCAGCCTCAAACCAAAGTTTTTGTTATGTCTTTATCAAATGTCAGATGACGTTAAATTCATGTACAGCATATCTGGAGGAGCAGCAGCAAGACCACAAAATAGGTTAGTCAAACCACTTTGGTTCTGTGATGATGAGGAAACACAACCTTTCTCTGCCTCTCTCAAGGACCAAAACCCATGACTGAAAGTTACATTTAAAATCATTTCAAGAGAAAGTAAACCAGATTGCAAAGTGAAAGTTCTTGTTTACGGATAAATTCTAAGACAGCTTTATCAGGAAAAGGAACTTTTCCAAACTTTTTCAAAGAAGAAAAAAAAAAACATTTGTGCATGGTCAACTATTTTATTATTCTTATTGAATAGGATATTGGTACTACTTATATCAATTTTATTTTCTAATGCTTAGTTTTGATCTAGTATTCAATAGGATATAAAAAATAAAACAAGCATTTTTCACACTTCCAACTTTTGTGTTTGATTATTTCCACTGACTAATATAATGTTAACATGCAAGTAAATAAAATAAAATTAATTTACAACCAAGTGTTATGCTTATCAACTAATTTGCAAATCCATTACCATATAAATATAAATTAATATAAATTTCCATTGCTATGTGTAATCATGACAAACCCATTATAATATAACATAAAAAAAAAAAAAAATATATATATATATATATATATATATATATATATATATATATATATATAGAGAGAGAGAGAGAGAGAGAGAGAGAGAGAGTGAGAGAGAGAGAGAGAGAGTTGAAGTCAGATTTATTAGCCCCCTTTTGATTTTTTTCCTCTTTTTTAAATATTTCCCAAATGATTTTTAACAGAGCAAGGAACTTTTCACAGTATGTCAGATAATATTTTTTCTTTCTTCTCTTTGTTTTACTTCGGCTAGAATAAAAACAGTTATTAATTTTTTAAAAAACATTTTTGGACCAAAATTATTATCCCCTTTAAGCTATTTTTTTTTCTCTATAGCCTACAGAACAAACTATCGTTTTACAATAACTTGCCCATACCTGCATAGTTCACCTAATTAACCTAGTTAAGCCTTTAAATGTCACTTTAAGCTGCATAGAAGTGTCTTGAAAAATATCTAGTAAAATATTATTTACTGTCATCATGGCAAAGATAAAATAAATCAGTTATTAGAAATGAGTTT